AACAGAATAGTTTTTGTCGCAGACTGTACAACACCTTGCGTCCAGTTGTCACGAAATACTAATGATGAAATTTTGGTGCTGTCTAGTGCGCATCGGAGGTGGAGCCTAATATCGGGAAGACCAAGTCTCTAGCTATATTTGACGGGTTGTAAGTCCTAAACGTCTTACTTTTGAGATACAGGGTGGTGAAGTTTTCAATAAAGGAGGACAGTAGCATGTCACTGAGTTTTCTCAAGATAACCAAATTTAAATCTGTATTCATTTATGCACACATTCAATCTCTTAATTTGTTTAGCCCGGCGGACGGTTTTCACCTAAGAGCCGTTTTACACACAAGAGAATTACTCCGAAAATTATGGTCATAATTATGCCGAAAATTTTTGCTGTCGTATTACACGTAAAATAATTCTTGTGAAAATTTTTATGGTAAAAACATAAAACCTGTTCTATATTATATGCGCGAGAATCGGCGCAGAGGGTTATTTCCGTGCATGTCAATATCAAATGTCAACGACAACAACAACAACATAACCTCACTTAACATTTGTGGGAGTGGTCCTGTCGTACGAAGGAGCGTTTATTGTTATTGTTTATTCATAATGTCGTGGAATCGGGAAGAATTTACAATGTTGTTGGAGGAGTACCAAAAATGGCCAAACCTGTACAAGGTGAAGTCACCCAATTACAAAAACAGAAATTTGCGGCGTCAGGCGCTGGATGCGATAGTCCAAGCATCGAGAAGTTTTATAATATTAACCAAGATCTCGATTTCAAAAATAAATTTAAATTATCGACGTCTGTTGTCTTTCCGATTATATTGGACGTCATACCCGTTAAGGTTATGTCCATTTGAAAATATAACTCTAATGCGCAGGCGTATCATATGAATTACTCCGAAATTTTGTTTGCTTGTGTCATACAGGTTGTAGAGAAAATCTTCAATATTTTTTCCATGCAAATTTTCAGCATAATTATGACCATAATTTTCGGAGTACCTAATTCTCTTGTGTGTAAAACGGCTCTAAGGGAATAAAATCTATTTCTTTGCATGGTGATATTGTCGTATTAATGATAATGTTATGATCATGCAGAGACACGGTTTTTAATTTTTTAAGCGAAAACCTGCTTCGGATTGGAAAAATCGAACTATCGAATTTTTATTTTAAGAAAAATCAGTGGCGTACAATGAATGTCTGCCAAAATAGGCAGGTGAAAGCTCGAACTAACGTCATTGGTGGATACATAATACATGCATGCCAAATTTCATTAAAATATTTATTGAAAACTTTACCATCCTATAGCTCAAAAGGTGAGACGTTTAAGACATACGTTCATATGAAGTCTTCTTCTTAAAATGAACCCAAAAATTTACCTCTTAGATATTGACAATCGATTAGGAAACACCCTGTATAGTGTCGTGCGTATAGGCTGTAGAGGGAGAACTAACGCGATTGTCGAAGAGAAAAACTCTCCCAAACCTTCAAGCTCATGACATACACACTTAGTGCAACGACACACGAGATAAACTACGAATGGACCAGCCTTCTAGCTCAGTACTTGAAATACTGCAGTAACGTTTACACACGGACATTTTTTGAACATTTCTATAATCGTCTTCTTTTATAGAATAAAATGATATAGAAAAACAGCAGTACGATGGAAACTAGAGATCTATCAAATTTGGTATTTATTATTATATTTCAAAAACCTAAATGGTGAATTCGCTTCGAATTTTGAGGTTGTTTCAATGCTCCTCAAGATTTATATGATCAGTTTTTCAATCATTTCAATAAGTCTGTTTCCTGAAAAGATTGAAACAATATGGGAAGACAAATTGGTTAAGGCTTTCGCGGCCAGTTGATAAACTGCTGTCTTGATTCGGGTCTAAAGGCCGTCGTCGGTTGGAATTCCTTCCTAATGCTTCGCTAGCACGAGTGGCAAGCTTCTTCAGAGGTCCTTCATTTCCGATGCTGGATGTAGACTGACGATTTCTCTTGCGCAGGTTGTATTTATACCGGAGGGTAGGACTACAAAAGGAAGATTATTGAACTTCTAGACCCAGAAAATCACAAACCCCTGAAGAAGGATCCAACACAAGCCCGACTACGCCTTACTAACCGACTCATCAAGCTATCATCACTGCCAGAAGACACCAAGAAGAGCGTTACGAGGGCTGAAGCGGTTCCACCAAGGCTCTACGGCTTGCCCAAGATCCACAAGGCAGATGTTCCGTTGAGACTAATAGTCAGTGCTCCCGGATCGCCGATGTACTACTTAGCGAAACACTTGGCATCCCTGCTGCAACCATACGTGGGAAAGAGTACCAGCTACATCAAGGATTCCACCGACTTTGTGCGCAAGATTCAAGACATCGTAGTTGAACCCGACGACATCCTTGTGAACTTCGATGTCGTCTCCCTTTTCATCAAGGTACCGCTGAGCGAATGCCTAGATCTGGTGAGCAGGATCTTCTGACATCTGCAAGCTCTTTGAAATCTGTCTCACTGGAAGCTACTTCGTATGGGGCGGGGGCTTTTATGAGCAGACAGACGGAGTGGCAATGGGAAGTCCACAGCCCAGTCATAGCCAACCTTTTTATGGAACATTTTGAGAAGAAGGCGGTTGAGACTTCGAAGAACGAACCAGCAATTTGGTTCCGGTACGTGGACGACACCTTCGTGATTTGGAAACATGGCACGGACAGGCTAAACGAGTTTCTGCAGCACCTCAACGATCGGCATCCAAGCATACAATTTACCATGGAGATAGTGAGTGACCAACAACTGGCCTTCTTGGACGTACTAGTCAGGAAGCGAGGTAACAAGCTGGGTCACACAGTGTACAGGAAACTAACGCACACAGACAGATACCTGCATGCTTTTTCCAGTCATCACCCAAGTCAGAAGTATGGAGTCATCAGAACCCTGACAGAACGAGCTCGAAGGATTTGCGAACCGGATAACCTCCAGACAGAACTTGAATACCTGAAAACTGCGTTCGAAGCAAATGACTACAGCAAAAGCGACATCGAAAGATCAATGGGCTCGATATCAGCCAGGCCACGTGAAACCAAACAGCGTCCCACCACCTCTCAAGTGTATCTTCCATTTGTGCCAAGAGTCACGGACAGGATTGGCAGAGTCCTGAAGAGACATGACATTAAAACAATCTTCAAGCCTACGAAGAAGATCCAACAAACCATCAGATCGGCAAAGGACAAGAAGGACCAACTCTCACAAAGCAAATTGCCGGCTAGGACAGACTGAGAAGTCTGCGGTAGCTGGACAAGCACTAAGCAATGGGGACCACAGGATACACTTTGGGAGCAGCAGGTTGCTGTCATCAGTCGACGGCTATCACAATAGACTGGTCAGGGAAGCTATCGAGATTCACAAACATCCATATAACATCAACAGGAAGGAAGAGACCGTCAGACTCAACCCGATCTGGCACCCGACCCTCAGAGCAAAGCCGATCGACATCCCGAAGTCAACCGAAGCGGAACAAGCCACATCACCTACCCTTCGGTATAAATACAACCTGCAAGAGAAATCGTCAGTCTGCAAACATCCAGCATCGGTAATGGAAGGACCTCTAAAGAAGCTTGCCACTCGTGCTAGCGAAACGTTAGGAAGAAATTCCAACCGACGACGGCCTTTAGACCCGAATCAAGACAGCAGTTTATGGGAAGACGAAACGCAAGTACTACTGTAGGTGAATATCATGATGATCACGTCGCGCAACTATTCTTGCTACCGACGATAAAAAGGGGGTAAATGGTAGCCGATTTCACGAATGCATGAAAAATCCAAGAAAATAATTTTACAAGGCCCCTAAAATCTGCAAATCGTCCTTCCTTGAGTAACCACTAAACAAAATTGTGTTGGGGATTTAGATGGCTACCCCCATAGAACTACATTTAACTCATGCAGATCATCAAGAACGAGGTAGCCCTTATGCTATATTGGAAATTATGCATCAAGCTATATAATAAGGTTTAAAAATCAAGCTTAACTTTGGCTGAAAAAAAGAGTTCTTTGCTTAACAACGATCAAATGAGATAGTCTTTCTTGTTACAGTCGTTTTATCGAATATGTTACGGGATCCAATATATAGTCTTACCATGTTGAAATTATAATTATTTAGATAATAATAGGGTCGCAACCAGCGACCCAACAAATCTCAGATTATACATTTTCAGACTTAAGCTTTTTATGGAACTTTGGGAATCGGTTGCAGTCTGAATTGATCGGAGCAGTTTTGAATAACTGTTTCTCTCAAAAACGACTCGAATTATCGAAATCAAACAAATATCTATTATTTCAACCTGGGGAATGGACCTCCCAAAAGACATTTTAGATACTATTATTGTTTTTTGACTTATCTCCAGTGACGTCCTATAGAGGCCTTTATCCTGGTGGGGAACTTCGTCATATATATTCTATATAGGAACTTGTCACAATATTTTTTGAATTCAATGTGCATGTGCAGTTTCACTATCTATATTCTGGGACACTTTGGATACGTATGGCGTTGGTAACTAAAATGAGAATACGGCCATAGCTTATAAAAATTAAATGAAACGACCTTGCAGGGAAGGATAGCAAGCTACAATACGTTAATAGTAAAAGTAAACAATAATAAATAAGTACTGTAATCCAGTTAAGGTATTTCCTTCTTACATGAGAAAAGAAAGTGCCGGTATTTGTATATTGAATCATTTTCAACGCAGCCTTCTTAGATGTCAAGTACGGTAAACAAAAAACTGAGGAAATATGCCAATTACCTTGCCGCCATTGTTCTTTTATGAAAATGACGAAACAAAATGCTTCTTGTATAGCAATGAATAAGAATATTTCCTCCGATTCACACAGACATCCATTAACTTCGGTACCACAGTGCGATTTCAAGTGTATGATGGTTTGATAGTTTGATGGTGCTTTCACAATGCACGATGCACTCTGGTGTTTTTATAGTAAATATAATTTTTAAAATTGCAGATAAATGAAGTAGATATAAGTATAGATAGTACTATCCGGTTGCTAGTACTATTGTCGGTCGACTGGTGGTTACAACGTAAGGTATGTGTGTTTCAATATTTTTTTCGTATTATCTAGTGCTACAAATTATACCTTTGTTTTAATACAGTGCATACTCGTAGGTATTACTGATAGTTGATCCAATGCAATTACATTTATTTACAGAAAAACGTAATAAAACAAAAAAGCACGACACTAATAAAATCCACACTTTAGATTTTTAATTTCCATAGTTTCCAAACGTAAGCAAGAAAAAATATGAAATATGTTAAAGCGAAGATAATAAAAAATTCATTTAATTTGTCTACCTAGGCCAGAAAATAGGTAACCTTTTTCTAAAATTGTGGCGACAATTAATTTTTTGATCGTATCGTTAGTTATTGTTTCCTAATGTTAAGTTCAAATTGGAGCCATGATAGTGCTGTGCTGGAGCTGCCATTTTGGTAAACGCGTTTGATAGAAAATCTGGGATAATATCATTAATATGTAAAAAAGTGGTGGAAACCGAGGTTTATAGGGAATAAATTTTTTCATAATTTAGCTTATATGAAAATTTCGCATATAGTCAACAGGTTACGCGAAATTTAAGGGTAATGATAATAATCACGATTTGAAGATGCGAGTTCACTACTCCGCCATATTCCAAAACAGTCTTACCTTCCACGCGCTTAGATTATACCACCGATTGGCATTTCTGGAATAAAAATATAGTAGCTTTCAAGAAATTGATTAAAGGGGATAACTTGATTTAATAGTATTTAGACAATATTCAATGTTTAGTGTTTTTTTTCTCTTTTAGACTGTCTTTCATATAGACTGTTTTGTTTTTCTTTCACGGGATTATTGTTGATATTCTAAGTGACATAGAAATTGCAACACCGACTAGGAGTGCTTTAATTTTGAGCATACTTTTACAAGTTTTAGGTCTACTGATAAATAGAAAGTGATTGATATTTTAACTCGAAATTTCGCTAAATAGCTGAGATATCCACCTTAATGTTAATGTGTTGAAGCTCCTCTGTTCGATACACATTCGTTAAGTCGTCGCGGCATTGATTTGATTAGGTAATTGACGTCTTCTTGGTGTATTGGCCATCTGAATTTCGTTTCGTAGAGCCTCCACTGTTTGTGGAGGGTGTCGTGAATTTTGCAACTTTTTTCCCATCATGTCCTAAACATGTTCGATGGGGAAAAGGTCTGCAGATCCAAGGTCCTGCTGAAAAAGTGGATCTTGCAATATTTCCAAAAAGGGAAGCAGATGTGGTTGTAAAAGTTCGTGGGTATAGCGCTGGGCAGTCATGCTACCTCGAATGAATACTAATAGTGACCTGCTGCCATGAGCAATGGCACCCCATACCATAACACCCACAGTGCGATGAATATGCCGTCCGATGGAATATTGTTTTTCACCACGTCTCCTCCTTACTCTTGCACGGCCAAACAGAATCTGTGAAGTAATCGGATCGCGGATGTAATGCCACACGCCGAACACCTCATACGAAAAAATCAGTGTGATATAAATAGATTAATAAGTTAATAGCTAAGGTACAACACCATATTTTATAATTTGTCACTGGCGACGTTGTGGTAATTTGTTTGTATCTCAGACAGGAAAAAGTCATTTTACTAGTTGTATTTCGTAAGCTGTGACGTTGTTTTGGTCTATGCTAGATTCGGAAATAAAAGATTGAATGGACTAACTCCTGGTTTATTTATATCACAGCGGTTTTGCATTCTAAGCCGTAACAAATATTAATATTGTTGTAACATAGTTTTTGAGCTTTTTTGGAAGATTCCTCCGTTTGCAAAATGAAACCTTGTAAATATCTCGAGAGATTCATCAGGCACAAACGTTTAGTTTAACCCAATAAAGTAACACCCGAAAATTGAACAGTAAAGACTGTAGAAAAAATCCATACTTCACTTTCAAAGAAGCGTACCAATTTGCAAGTTTAAATACGCACGTGATATACATAACGTCGCACCTTTAAACAGAAATGAGGTATCAAAAAGATAGCATTATCAAAATTATTCAAACCATAAAACCAAATATGCATCTATTTCAATATAAATAGAGAATACCATAGTACCTTATAACGAAATTGCAAGTACTATGCAGGACGTGTTGGGTTAAAGAGGTAAGTGTAACAGTTTTCTGTTAGTTCTGAAGAACTTCTCTAGCTGTAGGACCTTTAATAACCACATCTTCCTTGTACTTCCCATTCGACCGTAATTCTACCTCAGTGGATCTTTAATTTCTTTACATCAAAGACGGGTCTTTATGGTCGGCGCGACGTACAGTGGTCTGTTTATTTAAAAACCAGGCAAACATTGAAAAAAACAAAGTAGCGGAAATTAATGAAAATTATTTCTTATTTTAAAGTTAGTACTTTGAACATTGAGTTGCACATGGTATCAGAACTTTTCTCACACCTTTTGAGCTTTAAGTTTTTGGTGTATCATTTGATACTACTTTACAACGGCAAAATTGGAGATTTTCTGTACTCTCTTGTATTGTGTGTTGAAAATATTTGATCTGGATACGAATTATAATAAAGGGAGGACAAACTTTCATTTGATGTAATAGAAAACTTGTCGTTGTTGTCTCCATGAGTTGAGTTTCTAGCTTCACTTTTTTATATTATTATTCAAAGAGGTTTTTAATAAGGTCTCGCCCGCCGTCTCAATTCGAATAAATTATGTTTGTGAGCCTTGAAGTACTGCCAGATAAAATCTAGTATCAGTTTGTGTCTCTTACAAATTATTGAGAAATATAACTTTGTATGCTGCCATATTATTGCAGGTGGTTGAATTCGGTTACTTAACTTTCTTGAATTTACCCTTTGAGTGGCCTCAAAAAGTCAAAAGTAATCTCTGGTTTTGACTCATCGATCGCAAAAACTTATGCGACACGCCTCTTGACCACTGCGGAAAGCGCGATTCGGCTGTGATAGATGCCGCTTTGCGCTTTCCTATTTCGATAGACCGTACCTCCGGTATAGAGGATAGTTGAGATGCTTCGTTCGTCCAGAGACAAGAGAACAAACTTTACCATACTGATGAGTAACCAAGAAGCACGAAACAGCTGTCCATGGTTGGCTGCCTTTTTGGTCGAACGGACGAAACCATCATGTTTGGTTTGTTCAATAACAGGAAGGCCACATCTAATTTACAGCCAGAATCGTCAACCATCTAACGACTTTGCTATTAATCGCGAACTGAGATCCATAACAGTTCCAACTAATAGCAACTATGCAGTGGTCGATTCTGGTGTCATAGATGGCGCTTTGCTCTGTCCTAGTTTGAACTTTAACTCCTTATAAACATCACGTTTCCATTCACGTATTTTTAAGAACGTATAGTAAGCTAGTGAACTGAATTAAATTAGAGGTAGTCTATGCTGTATTAACTGCTATGAACTTTTACAACATTGTCACATTGACAGACAAAGTCGAACATCTAGTTAGTGGAGTTAGCAGCATTTGCGTAGAAAACTGAGATGCTAGTTTTTATGATTCATAAATTGATTAGCTTTTAAATTTGACTTACCCTGTAGCTGTAGTTCGTACGAGGTAAGAGATGAACCCAATTTACTTTAGACCAATTTACCAAATAATATTGAACTTCCTTAGACTTGGATATTCCTTCTGTTCTATTTTTTATTCACCCATAATTGCAGTACGATTGTACCCTATTTTCTTTCAAAGTTTATGCAAGTAGGAATTCGATTGTGTGAGAACTTGGGGTATAATTTAACAGAGCTTTGCATATCACGTCAGAAGTATAGCAAATAGGTTACCAACTTCAAAAATGTATTGTTCGATTTATACCAGCTCATCTCAAAGATTACACTAGTCGTGAATTTGATCCCATCCAATTTTCATTGCAAATAAGCTTATACAGGGACTTCGAAGTTGAGTCATTTATTTTAACAGTGAGTAGATCTGATCAATAGAAATGTTTTTTCCTTTAACATTTTTGTGGTAAAATTAAAGTAACAAAGTTATAGCCCTTTAGAAGTTTGAGTACCGCCCTGTCTCAATAATAATATTATGTGCTCGTGTTCGGCAACAACTGATATAATCCGTCTTATCGGTTCATCGAATCGGAAACAAAAAAGCGAAAGAATTTGAAACGCTTATCATGATGTTTTTACTACAATTTTATTCAGTTGTATTCAGTCAATGTGTCAGTCGGTAACGCGTGAGTTAATAATTGTGTTTGTTGCGTGGCTCAAACTAAATAAAAAATGGCACATGTTTACGAAAATGCTGAACTTATGGACATGAATCTTATTTACGGGGGGGGAGTCTTTACAAAATGCTGCCGCGGCATCACGGATATGTGCGGATCGGTTTCCCAATCGAGTGCAACCAACCCCTCGTGCCTTTGTTAATGTAGTACAAAGGGCTCGTGAATCAGGTGACTTAAGACCTCACAGGGGAGTGCATGCCGGTGCTCCAAGACCGCACGATCAAATACAGGTCCGCACTGAAATACTTGTCGGGAGGATACTTTATAAAACAAGGTAACATTTTTTTTTTATCTTTACACACATATTTTGGTTTATCTTCCTTCTACAATCATTATATGAAAATTAATGACTCAACTTCAAAGTCCCCCTTTATGCTGCCATCATATAGCAATTAAAAACGGGTACTTTGATAAAACAAACATTTCTGGCGTTTCAACTGCTTTTTCAGTATTAAGAAACTGCAAAAAGGCTACCACCATCAATTATATCTGTATCCGAAAAATCCGTTGGTTTGAAACTTTTCCCGTAAACAGGACATAAGCAATATTAAAATGGTGAATACGTGGCTTGTTAAAAAGTGGCAGATTGAAGACAAACAAAGCAGTAAAATGTGTCCAAGGTGTCCAACAACAGTACGTTGCTTAGTCCTTTGTACTCCCGCAGAAATGGAGTGTAGGCTGACTACTGGTTAATATTACTACGGTACTTTTGAGGCATAGATAAACTAAATCAATAAAAAAATATCAAAAAATTCATTGGATTGCCATCTTTAACCCAAGAATATAAACTTCATATCTATAATCAAATGCGTTGCCAAGGGATGGCAAGGGGCGCAGCTGTGCATAGCCAAATTCAAAGCAATCTAGTCCTAAATCTTTGTCGACCACTTTATCATTAAAATTTGGTAATATTCAAAAAATCTGCAGGTACACTTATGCATTGTAGACAAACAATTATGTCCCAAATTCTTCTTGTTCTATTTTTTTAATAAACATTAGGGATGCACCACAAAAAAACTACTGTGCAGCTTAAACCATTTTTTGTGTGTGAAGTTAGTGTAGTAACAGTATCTTCGGAAACTTTGTTTTTAAATATTTAAGAATCACAGTTGGGTATATGTGGAATTCAGTTACTACAATTTGAAGTTAAATTGGAACTATTTCTTGACATTACATTTGTAAACATTTGTTTTTGGTTCCTACTACAAAAAAGCATATTTGAAACACATAAAAAAGGATATACTAGACCTCTTAAATCGTCATTATGGTTCAACCAACGCTGTGGCCCAAGCTGCTCAAACGAAGGAATACATATCAGAATCGTTTGAGAAGACCAGAAGACGGCTAAGATTTATTAAAAAGTCATCCAAATTAGTTCCCTAATTCCGGCAAAAATATGCTGTGATCTTAGCAATTTTTTTTGATGCTGCATTAATTTCTTGGAGAACATACCAGGAAGGTTTGTGAAAGGCATGTGAGCTCAGACTTTGCACATCACACCTGCAATCCTTTGAATTACTCAAATTGTATGCCTTTCGTTCAGATCGAGTAATTACCCGGTCGACTAATTTAATACTGGGCGAAGCCAAGTACTCGGTAAAATGCGCCGATTATGCCGAGTACCGGGTACAAACCGAGTACTCGGTGCATCGCTAATAAATTAAGTAACAAGTTTTGTGTATTGTACAGTCAAAAGCTCGTGGAGCTTCGCACATTGGACTTTTACCGTTCTTATATTCATATGCTCTTAACTTTACTTACAACTCATACTTTTCCCAGTCTCCGTATCAACTTGCGCGATCGGCTTGCCTATTACCACTTCAGGGTCCATTTAAAAAAATCCAACTGGGAACTATTTAAATTTCGTGATGGCAAAAACGCCAATGAAGGTGTATTTTCTCGATATAGATATCAAAAACATCTAAAAACTTTCAGATATTTGAACATTTTTGCGGTTACTCATGTGTCGGAAATAAAAACTTGTTTATCGGACAAGAGTGTTTTAGACTCAAGTTTTTAATGCTTATAGGGCAAATTCCACAACTTATGATACAACAACCGTAAATCATAGATGTGTATTAGTTGAAGACCAGTCAGCAATCTAAAAATAATGTTACATATTTTTATGCATACACCCACCATACTGATAGTTCAAGTTTCGTCAATGAGAAAATAGTATGTCTAATTAATATTTGCATAGTATCGATAACTCAATACATCTGAAAATGATGAAGTCGTAGACGGATACGTGCACACCGAGAAACCGCAACTGTTATAAAGAAATTAAGTTATATTGTTGATTTCACTCTTGAAGTGCTGGCAGATTTTTCGACAATTCCTAGAAACAAGTTGTACGCGGGGAAGTCTAACAGGCATAGAGTATAGAGTGCGACAGTATTATGATGGAGTGCTCAGAGGAGCAATCTCCTTTTGCACATCAGTAGAAGAGAGTTACTACTAATTGGTATCGCTGTGAAGATTCTCGTTCTGTGATATGTTAGGAATCACATTTACCGGCTCGGTGGCGCAGTGATTTACGAGTTCCTGCTAAGTTGCTACCGAGCCGTACCTACAGGTTCAAATCCTGCACTGGGAGCATTTTTGATAAGTTTAAATGTTGTGATTGTCTATGTAGTTGATGGATGGTCTCCGCTGACCGCAGACGTATTACTCGATAGATCTCGGCGATGGCGTCAGTATGACAGCTCTATTCTTATTCCGCTTCATTGAATCGATTTTGAAGAAAGCACTCATGTCTCATTGTATTTTTACCAAATTAGGTACCGGATCCTATTAACTGGTTTAGTCACTGTGGGAATATAGTAAATCTGACAGTAGATATATAATCGCCAACGCGAAAAACTGCGGTATACAGCGTGTCCCAAAAGTCGACGTCAAGCCTGATGTGAGGGATGTGCCAAGTCATAATAGTTATCAACTTTTCAAAGTATAATCTTTAAAAAATCAGAAAAACCACACCCTGTGATGATCTTTTAGTTCCCATTACTAGAAATTTCAATTTTTTCTCAGACGGCAAGACAGATGACAACGCCATGTAACCATTTTTTTTAAATGTCAACTGATCAGTCCTTGAAATTTTCTTTAAAAATCGCGGATGTTCCCAGTGTGTCATGTATTATTGTTTGACACAACTCAAGTCTTGAAAGATAATTCCAGGGTTGTAGAGATTGTACTCGCTGTACATGGTACGGGTGGAGCTCGTTCTTTCGCAAGATTCGGTGGGTAGTACTTTTGGGCACTCCCGAGCTTGCTTCTGTTTCACGTACTGAAGAACTCGGGTCTTCGACTGCTTGTAGTACGAAGTCCTCGTAAGGAAAGGAAATTCTTCCTTCACCATGTGCTTGATTTGGTAATCGTCCCTCTGCGGCCAACCATGGACAGCTGTTTTTCCAGTGAAATGATTAGGCTTTCCAAGATTGCTATTTTTGTGCCATTACTTTAGTGGTGTAAAAATCTCCGGTGATCTCACTGTTAATTTATATGCACGCACATCATCATGTGAAACTTCAACTCAATATTTAGCTGTAAATATCCTTTGGGGTGTATATCTTATAGGAACCTATACCAATATTTGATCATGTTCTGAGTGCATCCGACGGGTTGTCATCTTATTTTAGGATATTCTGATTGAACTATCAATGCTTCATATACTACTAGCTTACAGTACAACATCTATTTAATTTGAATAATATTTGATTAATATTGAAATTAAAGCCTAACATCCATCTAAACTCACTCTTAGATATGTACTACGCGCTAGTTTATTCTCACCTCACTAACAATATAATCATATGGGGACAGGCAACAATGATTAACAGATTATTCATCCTGCAGAAAAGAGTACTTCGATTAATTTTTAATATTAATAAGAGGGACTCTTGTAAAGAAGTATTTAGACGCTATAATCTGCTTACATTAACTTCCATCTATATCTACAAATGTGCCATCTTCGCATTTGAACATAGCAATAGATTTGTTCGTAACAACGCTATTAATAGTCAATACAACACTAGAATAGGGCATGATCTGAGTATCCGACACATAACTCTGCCCTATTCCAAAAATCTCCCACTCTAGCGTGCACTATGGTATACAATAATCTGCCGAGTGAGTTGCGGAGAAGGACTAATATCCTTGCGCTGAAAAAACATCTCAGGAAATATCTGGTTGAAAAATGCTATTACTCTCTACATGAGTTTTACTAACACATGAAAGTATCTGTTTTTTAAATTCTTTTAAGCTGTTAATCATTTCGTTATCAGTGAATTGTCTATTATCGTGGAGTAAATGTATTTTAATTTCACTTTTTATTCGAGTTTTAACGAAAGTATATGTTTTCTTTTTAAGCTTTTAACCATTTGTCGTCACTGCTCGATGTTTATTGTGTTTATATATTATGTATTTCAACAGATTCTCCTACCGCTTTTCTTTCCTTTGTATGAGCTTCAATGATTTTTACCGGCTAGACGAACATTTTTTGTGATAAAAAAGTCGCTGTATATGTATATACTTTTACACATTACGATTCTTGCACTGTACCTGTACCTATAATGTGATTTAACCTTTTAAAATGTTTTGTAATTGTAATGTCCTTATTTATTTTATAATTATAAGTATTTTTCTGGCATATTTGCTCAAACGCATATATGACCCTCAAATTGATATTGACAAGTCTTATATCATGTAACATGATTTAATAGGACAATAAACTATCTATCTATCTATCTATCTAACAAATCAAAGAGGCACATTCGAAGTTTTGTTTCTGTAAAAAAATATTATTTACAAGGACGGATTTAGAGGGTAATGCTTAGATGTGATGGCCCTCCTAGACGCCCAAGTCTGCCATTTTTTTTCAAGAAAGTGTGATCTCATTAGCTCGTATTTTCAACAACTGAATTGGTTAAATGTAACAGAATTATTTAAGTATATTTGCTATGTTTTGTGCACACAGTTCTATCCTAATGGTGTCCTCCATTTTCAAAAGACAAGCTAATATTTCGATCGAACTCAAGAAATATTCATTTTGTGAATACGTTAACCATGCCTCTCCATAAGACATCATTCTTCCATAAGTGCTTTATATAATGCCATTATACTATGCAATGTATTGCCATCACCTACGAAGCATCTGAACTTCAACGATTTCAAATAACGAGTTAAGAACATCATTTTTGAATAATAAATTTAAAGACAATCAACACGCCTCATTTCTCTAAATTGTGAACATGAACTATACAGGTCATTTTAAAACATAATTTTGATATCATAGGTGGATTTAAGTAATATTTATATAATACTATCTAGCTTATACTATAATTTTCACATTTTATTGTATGTATATATTTTTAATGTTTATTTTTGTTAAGGGTTATGTGGCGGAATAGCTCAACTTTGCCCTGAATAAAGACGATTTATTATGATTATCATTATACATTGTGTCTTGGTGTAAAAATTGCCAGACCTGAACCGTGAGAAGTACCCTACCCCGTCCTCTCTAAATGTCGCAAGTCATTTGCCCTGCAATAATTAAGTACTCAAGCATGCAGCTGACCCCCCCCCTCCGCTTTTCAATTTTAATAGCCGATAACCCCTCCCCCAAATGAAGACGAACATCTTTCTGAACATGAACGCGGTGATCACCGATACGCCAGCCTCCCTCGCCCGAAATATCAAAACTTGTGAAATTGCTCTTGCCCTTATTGCTGGCGCGCAGATTTCGGACCACGCTTCATTTCCCACATTAAACACCAATCAGTATTAATCCATTGACTGACATAATCTTAAAACATTTTTTCAGGCTATAAATAAACGCAGTCGATCTCCGTCTCACATCTAGTCAACTATGAAAACAATCGCGCTGATCATAGTCGCGCTTTCAATTGTTCTCGCGGTCGACGCCACCTTAGAATCATGCGACAGCAAGGTATACTGCCAGGGGATGCTGCTGGATGTAGTGCAGCAATCTCACATTTTTCCGGATTCCAAGTCGTTTGTGGACCTGATCCAGATCCATTCCTCGGAAGTGACGTTGAGAAATTTCGAGGAGTTAATGAAACAAACCGGTGATAAGCCGTCGAATGATGAATTGAAGGAGTTCGTGGAGAATAACTTCGTTGATGAAGGGGAGTTGGATGATTGGACGCCGCCAGATTTTAAGAGTAATCCGTCTATACTCAAGCAGGTGTGTAATAATGTTTGTGGTGTGATATAAAGCTAATTGTGTCTTAATGTGAAAGTTGTACAACAGCCGCATGATGGAAGAGTTTGACCAAGAAAGAGTAGCTACAGTCTACAAGGTAGAGTTCATCGACAGAAAATAGAGTATGAAAATTCAGTTAACTATTGAGACAATGGGCTACTTAACTCATATCTAACTTCATGGAATAAATGAGTATTTCTTGGGTAAACGAAATATATCGATTTCAATTCTTAAAAACGCAAGATTAGTCTAATTCAATATATACAATGTGTTTGGTCACGACATACCGATATTTAAGTGGGGTATTTTTCAGCTATTTTTATCCACAAATCCACTCCCAAAATGTCCTACCTCACCCCCCTTGAAATGGCATTCATTTTTATTTTTACGTTACGATTACGCTAATGCGTGTATGAAAATTGTAATAACTGAGAACATAAGAGTCACAGAATGATAAATTTAGTGTCATTTGAACGATAACATGTTGTTCTAGTGATTATTGAGAAACCTGTATAGATACTAACGGTCAAACATACTTAAAAACAGACAAAAACAGAAAAAATATGCAAGAAAATTGATTATTTTGTGTATTTCCGCACACCATTCAAAAACTAGTTTGTGAAGTTGTAATTTTTTGTGCTAATTCTACAGCTAACTATGTTATCTACAAAATGACACCAAATTTCTTCTACGTTAAGTAATAAATGCTATCTAACATGGGTCAAAGTATACATAAAAATGACAAATCAAAGTTTCTTATAAATAGTTTGGACATGTTTAATGTTACAGAAGCTGTTCAAAATGCCCTCCATTATTGGTTGTGCACATTGTAGTTCTTAAAACAATGTGTCTTGTTGAGCAGCGTGTCATATCCGTGTCAGCTCTAATTTCGTTCGCAGCGGTATGGATCCTTTCCACGAGTTCTTCTTGTGTCGTCGACACATGACAGTAGACTTTTTGCTTCATTGTGTCCCAGAAGAAATAATCTAGGGGCGTTAAATCGGGTGATCGGGGTGGCCAAGCGACAGTTTTAGTCGGCCCAGTTGAGCTACCTCCAAGGCTAGATGGCCAGGGATTTTTAGACTTCCGAGTTTTCCGATCTACGCCACTTATCAACCGCCGCAACCGATGGTTGGAACTCCCACACGCTTTTGCGTTAGAACATGTGGATAGGCAACATTCTCCATGGTTAGGACGTGGAGGCACTGTCGCTTGGCCACCCGGATCACCCGATTCAACGCCCTTAGATTATTTTTTCTGTGACACAATGAAGCAAAAAGACTACTGTCATGTGTCGACGACACAAGAAGAGCTCGTGGAAAGGATCCATACCGCAGCGAACGAAATTAGAGCTGACACGGATCTGACCCGCTGCTCAACACGACACATTGTTTTAAGAACTACAATGTGCATAACCAATAATGGAGGGCATTTTGAACAGCTTCTGTAACATTAAACATGACCAAACTTTTAGAATTGTTATCCGAAAGTTGTAATTTTTTCCGTTCAAGAGCCGCCTTTTATTTAATATTTTGATATTTCGCCTACCTCGATATTTATTAATAATTTATTAAACCTTTTTAATATAGAATGACTTTTAAAATCAAGGAACCTATAATGATTATAATAAACATTATAAAACTATAAGTGTGGCTTAAAATGAGCTGATCCGGATTTTGGAAAAAATAACTTTTTAAGGGGTTTTCGTGATCAAGCAATCCAAATTAGGCATTTGTTTTTTTCTAGCATGATTCCTTTATGTGTTTTTTTAAAGATTTTTCAAAAATGGATGAAGTTGGAAAAAACAAATGAAGGATTCTGGTGCAGCACTTTTCGGACACCCTGTATAAATAAAATTCTAATAGGTAATTTAATTTTTTTTGATTGCCCAGAATCTTTTATATAATTATTTTTTTCTACACCCTGTAGTTTCTGAGGAAGAGGTATGCTTACGCCCCTAATAAAATGCCCACCCTTTTCAATTATTTACTATTTAGTTTCAGCTCAAATATAATTATTATTAATTTTTTACCTTCTCAAGCCAATTTGTAATTGTGCTACGCCTATTCGAACTGGCAGAGGCTTCTGCTTCGGATTTAGGTGGGCTGGATCTACCAAAAATGTTTTCGTAGACTCTAGTGTGTTTAGCTTGCAAATGCCTCCTTATTGAAGATGTTCCACAGTTTTTCATTTTTAAAACTGTATTTTTTACGACACATAAGGTACATTTGCCTTGTTTGTCAGTAGTTTTCTTACTCTTAGGATCCTGCTCGATTATGAAATAATCCTTAATTTTATTCGTTTTATTAGCTTTAACTCGTTTTCCCTTTGGTGGCACCGACCCTGCACTTTCTTCTTCTGGTTCGGTGTCATCAGATTCTGACACTTTTTCATTTACGATATATTCTGAGCCGCTGCTTTGAAAAGGTTCCGACTCCATTTCTGAAAAATCACTTCTTAATTCAGACATAATAATTCTTTTGCGGTCGCCCTTTATCCTTGAACAACGCTGATCTACTAATCGCACGAGCACGCCTGTCGTCATCGAGTGCCTGCTTGCTGTGTGAATCCCCTATTTAACCTCGGTGAATCCCCTATTTTAACGCTTCGATGCGCATTTCACAGATCTACTATCAAGTAATATCAAGTAGTTTGATTTTAATATCAAGTCAAGTAGTTCAGTCCGAAAATCAAGTCAAGTCAAATATCAATTTTTTAAAAGCTTGAGTTTTCAAGTCAAGTCAAGTCTTTAAGAAAAAATTCAAGCTACTTGTCTTGATGAATCTCTAACAATCACAAGTAGCGGCAATGCAATCGAACTATAAATTATACTACCCAGTTTTTCAAACATAAACTTGAGATAATGTGAGAAAATAGCAATTTTCTCGCATATGGTATCTCAGCAATATATCGGTCGATTTTATTTAATCTTGGCAGCAACATAATCTGTCAATACAAATCCTATATCGTATAAAAATTTAAGACATCTGTATTGATTGCGAACATACACGAATACTACTTCAAGTAAAGGATAATGTCGACTTTTACATGCGAGCTAAATATGAACTAAATATAGTTGTTGAGTTCAGTGTGAGGGAATTTGACAGTATCTACAATGAAAAAGGAATTTCAGGATTTTCTTCTCGTCACTCCATGAAAAACACTTTATCTGCATATAACTAATTTTCCTCTATACAGGGTATTGCAAACTGAGGACCGGAAAATTAGAAGGCATAAATGAATGAAATATCATACAAGTATCTACCTCACATTTTTCGAAAATTGTTTGAGATAGGGGCATATAATTTTTCAGTGAATATAAATTTAAACACCTATAATGAAAACTGGACCCTTGTATTTTTTTAACAACACTCTGGAGCACCTCGTAGATTAATCTACTACATTTATTGCTTTTATGGAAAAAAGGACAGAGGTTTCAATAAATTTTATATATATAAATTATATTTGAGAGCTATTTGGAATTTTCAAACGATTATAACGTTAAATAAAGGATATTTGTTGGAGAAATTAAGAAACACAAGCCAATCAAAGACAGTGTTTGACTTTTTTGCTTTTCTTATTAGAATTTTTCTAATTAGATACAATTTCAGCTGTAACTAACCTATGTTTTGTGGGTGATATAATAATTTATGTATGTACGTGTGTAAAACAAAAAAAAATTCCGCGATAAATCTCACGTTCGTTGTATTTACGGTTATCGAGAAAACTAAAAATCTCATTCTGACGACAATTCAAGCAACATAACTATTTTATTAGCTTATTTATTGCTTCATTATCATTGCTACTTATAGAGGTGAAAAAAAATTATCCACATTGCGATGTTGAATTCATAGAATGTTTCCGGGTGTCAATAGGATATTTTGAAAAAGTACTTCAACTACAAATATCGAGCGCTCCGTATGATATTTTTTACGATGTGCTTCCTGAAAATGAATTTGCTAAATGGAGGGCCTGCGCGATAGTGAGATAATTTTTCACAAATATTTCAGGCACGTAGCATATAAAATAAGCCCTTTTTAGAAATCATGAGTTAGTAATATAGCTTTCGGCTTGTCGTAGGCCTGGTCTCGGTGGACAACGAGCGAAAACTAAGCAACTCTATTTGTAGTAGAAGGTTTATCGAAATAAGACAGCACAAAGTGACATCTATAACCAGAATTGACCAATGCGTGTGACCCGGCTGACAATGCGAATTGGCATACAGTTCCAACCAACAAATTCGAATAGATTAGAAGAACCAAGCCTATATGTTTACATTGCATTGTTTGTCATAACAATTGTGTCTAGCAATGCCTAGCAAAGTGACAGCGTTGTATGAACATAATACGAGTAATAATACTTACCGGTGGAAACATCTATCTTTATCAGGCTTGTGCCGCTCTTTACAAATCATGTAAGAAGCACCATGTCTTGATAAATAATACTACATATGAGAGAACTGTCAAAAATTGGCGTATGCCAAGTGCACTTTGATCCTTAGTAGAGACTTTGAGAATTAGGAGACAAACATATCCTTGACTGACTCCTTCTACAGGGTCCATCAGAAAGAACGCATATTTTTTAAATGAGTAATACAGTCAAAATAAGTATGGGAAAAAACTAGTTGGCCATATGGCGCCCTTGAGCGAAAATGCAGGAATCAAGCCTCTCCTGAAATATGCCCATTGCGTCGGCCAGCATCCGTGCAGGAATTTGGGTTACTTCTCTTCTTATTTCCTCTTTCAAATCGACGAGGGTTCGAGGCTTGCTGTGGTAAACTTTTGATTTCAGGTAACCCGTCGAAGTTCCGGAAAAAAAGTTGTTCAGCATGTGGATGTAACGCTCAGTAGTTGTACTGCACATCAAACTGTAACTGTCGGCCTCATGCAACTGTTGGGGGTTCACTGGAGACCAATATCGACAATTTTGTTAATTGACGTATCCATGTAAATGAAAATGTGCCTCATCACTCATAAACAACGTCATGGCATTGTTATCCAACTGTTCAATCATGAGCTGTACAAAATTAACACGTTGTTCATACTCCTCTGGCAACAGCTGTTGACAAACTTGGATTTTATAAGGATGGAACACTAAATCCTTCTTCAAGATGCGTCGTACAGAGGGCGCGTGAATCCCTAGGGAACTGGCACGCAAAAGGACGGAACGATTCGGGCTTTGCAGCGTGTCAACTCTCACTGTGGCTACGTTTTCGGGGGTTCTAGCAATACGGTTTCGCCCTGGCGGTTTTTTCTTCATCACATTACCTTTTGTGTTGAATGCTTCCACCAATCTCAAAATGGTGTTACGGTCTGGTACTGTCCCACGACGTGGAACACGAAAGTGAACGCGAAACTCACGTTGCGCCATTTTGAAAGTACCGACGTACAGTGAACACACTATGCTCAACGTTCCAAACCATCTTGCCAACTCAAAACGGCACTTCTCCCACTATCCAACACGCCCTTCCCCACCGACACGGGACCAGCCCACTCGAACGGTAGTACCCATTCGAAAAACATGCGTTCTTTCTGACGGACCCTGTACCTAGTCTGAAGTCGTTGGTTCCAACCGTCGGTAACAGCTTGTGCTGACTTATTTCGAAAAGTACTAGTTGTTTCACTATTGATCCCGTAGATGTAAGTTGCAGTCGACCCCAAAAATTGAGCAAAACTGTGATTTAAAAATTTATATCCAGAGGTTTTCTAATCACTAATTATGAAATTGTTTCTAAATCCAGATCCAAATGCACTTAAACTAGAGTGTTTTTCTCAAAAATGGCTCACTTTAACGATTTCAAACAAATGTTCATTTAAAGTTCAGAAAACCATCACTCACATCCCCTCTTTAATTTTCAATCGCCGCCATTGCGACTGGATGACCTCAATGACTCAAAGCCTCCCTCCATAATCCATTCTTTTCAGATAGACGATGTAGCAGTTCGAGAATTCGCCAGATCCTTAATCAAGATATGGCCAGTTCTGGGCAAGAAAATGAAAGCAAGCGTCCTAGACAAACCTGATCAACACTCGTTGATCCCAGTGCCAAATGGGTTCATCGTACCAGGAGGTCGGTTCAAAGAAATCTATTACTGGGATTCTTATTGGATCATTGAGGGGTTGCTAATCAGTGAAATGGAAGAGACTGCAAAGGGGATGTTGGAGAACTTCATTTCGCTGGTGGAAAAATACGGGTTCATACCGAACGGATGCAGAGTTTACTACTTGAACAGATCTCAACCCCCGTTACTCTCGTTGATGGTAGGGCTCTACATAGAAGCAACAAGAGATATAGAATGGTTAGTAACTTCCTTTTTATGGCTGGTTCTACTTTATTTAGGTACACACCCTGTATATTAATGGCTTGGTCTACAGGGAAAACCAGACTTGTCTGACGGGTCGAGTTTTATGTATATGCACGAGTAGAAGTATGTATCAACACATCTTAGAAAGATATAGAAGCCGGCTGAAGAGCAAAGATCATCACCACATTGCCTAGCGACGGTGACACAGAAGGTCGTGCAATATGCAGCGTAGCAATATGTTACACCAGGAAATATTCGCACTGGCTTCTACAATAGGTTAGGTTACTATCAAACCTAAGAATGGGGTCTGTTTGAATATTTAATTTAATATTTTGTTTCCATTTTGATTATAATCATATATATATATATATACATAGCTAGATGGTTACTGTCCAAAAGCGCTCATCTATGATCATAGATGTGGAAATCTTGCCTTGGAATGTACGAGATGCGGTGTTGTCAAGCGAACCAATGATGCAATGTTGCAGTATTTGTGGCGATCCTGACCTGTCATTTCGATCTAAAATGGAGCGCCTTCAGGACCGATCGGGAACCGATCCTATACAGATTCGACACAATTCACAATTCAAATGCGTACACTAAAATAAAATCATTATTTGGGCGTAGAGAATATACTAACGCATATTTTTAACATGCATCATCATCATCAAGGAATTGGTGTAACATATTGGCAACGCGGCAGATTGCCGCGCCAGCGTTAATAGGCAACACCTTGATGAGCTTCGCTATCCAGCCGTCTTGTATCGCTTTCTAACATATATGTCTAAACACACTTCTCTGTCTTTCACATTGAACTCAAGCCGCCGGACAAAATTGGTTCTCAGTGTATATAGTTCCTTTCACGGTTTATTTCCAAAAATATATAAATTCAACATTCAACTCCTTCATGGTTTTGTCACCTCCCTCGTGGATGAAATGCAAGTGACATCCATGGAGGTACCATTTTCAAAACGAAGTTAAGGGCAGAATTAACTATTATTTCAAATCATGTGGCACAATATACTTATTCATAAAAATGACAGCACTATCATGCTAATTTTTGAAAAATCTAACCTTTGTCTGTATCGCTCCTGCATTACCTTCCGACCGTCGACCAATTGTTAAAAAGACTGAAATGTCATATTTGTCAAATATAGTCGATCAGAATTCCTATAAATTGTGTTTAAATTACAGCACCACCCAACCTATTTATCCACCTAAATAATATTTGTGACATGTTGAAAAACAATGTGAGGATGATGTTAAGTTTTGTAGAAATGAGCCATTACTTGGTTTTTTTATGTGTACAAAATAACATAAGAGAAATTCGCTCAAGATATAGTCAAATTTTCGAATGCTTTTTTAATGATAACATGAATTTGTATTTCGGTACTGTGGAGACTACTAAAAATTCTCAAACACTAGTTGGAGCTAATAGACACAGGAATTGAATAAGCAGTTGCAGTAGTTTTTCCATGAGAATCGGGCACTTCATGTATTCAAGAAATTTAATATATTTGGCAGTATTTTCGGCACCATCATTGATTAACATATTCCACCATAACAGTCAGTTCAGTTCTTCTTCTCCAAAAATATGCTATCTTTTCTTGAATTCTAAAATCCGCTTTGTTTAGACAAAAGTTTCAATCTAGAACAAACACAGTTTTAACATGAAATCCTCCATCTATTAACTAGCTAAAGTTGCCGAAGATTTAAGAAAGCTGATAATTGCTGAATTTTCTGAAGCATCTCGTTGTCAATAAGAAGGAAGCTTGGATACTTGAAGGATATCTGAAGATACTTATGGAATTAACAGGTTATTATGCGGAATATTTAATTTGGTAACAAACTAATCATAGTGTTAGAAACCCTCATCCTATATATTCGAAACAAAGCGGGTTTTCAAAAATCATCTTTATACGAAAAATTTATTAGAATAGTAAGGTAACTTTCATACTTGTCGATGGAATGCCATCAGCAGTAAGAAACACAATAGAATCTTTGACGCGCCGATATAGATACGGTATATTTTCTTCTAATGTGTTTTCTAGTGCTCATCTCATGTTGCATCAACGAATGTGAAAGGTGTCTAAAACGTCGTAGCGGATAGCGCTATGCCCTGATGAACGCGACCTATGTTTTTGATGCCTAACAAATTACAACAATAGTACCTAAATACAGTGGACTAATGATCCAGAATAAGTTCCATTGCTCCGTATTCTGGATCATTTAAAACTGGCCCACCTTGGGGTGCTCGCGAAATTAAGGTTTGGGGTATTCGCATTACTAACAACCGTAACGTAAATGAGCAATTTAAAATCACTTATAGAATATTACCACCAAAGTAATCCGAGTAAGCTAATGTTCTTATGATCAGTTTTAATTTATTCCCATCTCAGCGATGAATTATTTAAACTTGTGCTCACTAGCCGGCTCCGTCATTGGGTGTATTTAGAAACGACAACGGCATTAATGCCTTTGGTAAAAGAGCGACAGTTCTGTTACACCTTGAATGCATTCCGCGATTGTTAGCATCGATGGAATTTCTATTTTGGAAAAATTACTTGATTCCGAAGCTGAAGCATAAAAATATTTCTAAAAGATCATCACCCACCACTGGAGGGGGGTACTGTAATTTCAAAAAGTTCCGAAAATGTTTTTAGAAAGTTGCATGACATGTACTTAACAAAAAACAATGTTATTCATTTTCGTCAGTCTGACGGTCTGTCTCTTTGTTCGCTAATCCTTGACTTATCTGTAACTTGGATTTTTATGACCTCTGACACAAAGGTACTACTGAGCCAAGGTCGAAAAAGCTGCGTAGTTTGTGAAAATCGATCCAGTCGCGGCGAAAGACGGAAAATAAAAATATGTCACTTCAAAAGCCCCTAACTGTTTTCAGGAAAAAATTTGTCAGTGTTAAAAACATCCTATTTTTTGTGTGGCGTATATTTATACGCTTACAACCATGGAAATTCTTCGCACGCATTAGACATATTTAATACATCATAGAAATTCCTCTTCATTTGCGCTTAAAGCCTAGAATATTTTCAATAGACGCATCTCTAGTCTCTAGGTATAACTGAGTGGTACCAAGGCTGAAGAGTGGCGAGCGGTCAAATATGTGCGACGGGCGAGGTTAGTCATAACAGCCTTGCTAGATGGTCGGTTCTAACGGTAGGGCAGGGAAAATGTTGATGGACTGACAAAATCCATTTTTTTTTGTTATACATGTTCATAGGTAGTTTTTTTTCAAAGAAACTAACTTGTGCCGAACCTAATCCTTTATGAACTGATAACAGCGTTACGTGTGGAGTGCAGAGTCAACCTACCTTTAGACACTTTTCTAAATTATTTAGAACATTAGTATCTGAAATAAGAGTATGATGATGTTACACCAGACTTATTTAAATGCATCCTCAAGTGTCATCTATTACCAGAATCGACCACTGCGAAAGTGATGGCAATAGATGGCACTTGTGCTGTCATATATGGATGGATCTTATACCTCTGTTCTTGTTCGTTGTCCTCCAGACGTGGGCCGCGATGATTGCCAATAAGTATGAAACAGTGCTTCCACGGTTGGCCCTCTGTTAGTCGGACGGACGAAAGCGGTTTTACTATATTATGTTTGATTTAAAGCAGTTATACTCTTTTAGGTTAGGAAAAAATGTAAAAACACTGGAGTCTGAACTGAACTGGTGGTTAAACAACAGGACAGTGACAGTAGAGAAAGACGGGGTGAAGTATCAGTTAGCTCACTACGCAGTACAAAGTAATACCCCCAGACCAGAGTCCTATAGAGAAGACATAATGACATGCAAGGAGCACCCTGAAAAGGTTAGTTCATATTTTCGTTTTTATGGTCTTTCTACTCAGTATTTGGTAAAATTATGAGCATTTCACACATTTTGCTTCAAAATTTAGTATGGTCTGAAACTTGCCCGTGACTCAAAGAAGATTAGCCCTCTTTATATTAAAATTTACTTATTCCTTTATACATATCATAATCATATAATGGCGGAGAACATATTCGTGGCCAATTTTTATGAGAGTTAATGAAAGTAACATTTATGAGCGGTAACAACACAATACACACTATTTACTTTATCATTTGTTCCCTTCAATGGAATAACTTGGTGGTTATTTTCTGTTAGTTTGAAAACAAACATAATAATTCATTTAATAACTGTACAACAAGTTTCACTGACCTAACATACATATATACTTATTATCTCATTTTTGTTCAGAATTATGCGCATACATTTATTTAATTGTTTGGTTATAAATAAAGCCGTAGAAAAAGTGAGGCAATAGTATTGTTCTATAAATCACTATTTTCGACTGCTACCTTGCCGAATCAGTTGTTTCAGAAATTATTTGTCTTATTGGGGATGCTATAAATCACTAAAGCCAAAAAACTGAATTTTATAAATAGTACAAACGCTTTATAAGCATTTAGCTCATTAGGTGAAAAAGATCGACTTGATGATGATGAAAAGAGTTTCGAAAAGCTTGGCCATTCAATTGAATAATATGCAAACTTGTTTTAGATATTCTGATTAAATAAACAATTTCGAAAGTAAATAATGGCGTCAAGTAGACTGGTTCTGTATTTCCAACGCAATTCGGTCATCCATTCGATTACTATGTTAGACTTATTTCATTATTACGAACTATGATAGAGTCAACCTGCTTGAAACATGTTTCGAAACATGTTTCTAATACTCTTCTTACAGTCAGCAAGAGCAAGAGAAATATTGATCAGATGCATGCACAGTAACAAAACAGCTAGTTCTATCTGTCATTTTCTTGCAACTGCCAATTGGATTTTTCATGCAAATTTGTGTGCAATTCTGGTGGAATAGTTAGGAACTTACAAGTTATTATGTATGCAAATGTCCCTAGGCCAGTCCGCTGGTCATATTTCATAGTAAAAACTAAATCCAAGATAATAGGTTCGGAATGTAACAGGGAATATTTTATTTGACCAGGTTGGTGAATCTTGCTTGTTTGAATTGAGGAAACAAGGCCGTCTTGCAACTGCAATTATCTTGCAACAATGCTTGCAGTGGTCTGGTGGACTGTAAAACGGTTGTAATAGACTGCATACAATTCCCATAGTTTTGTTTTTAACTGGGAGTACCTACTCTGTTGTAGTAGTAGCTACTAAAACGGAAGTGGGATAAATGATTACAACTTAGAGAAAAAGCTAGGTACGCATATGTATAGCAAAAAAAAGTATTCGTTAAACTATTTGAAAGTTTCAAATGGAATCGAAACTTGACTTGTTACTTCAGTTGTGCTTCTACATTCTTTCCGAATCAATTTTTGTTCGACATTCACCAGATTTGTAAGTACGAAAAACGGGTTGCTGCTATGTCTCAGAGGAGGTAATATTAAACGGATCAGAAGTTTCTTAATAATTAAATGTCTTTTACTGATACCAATGTTGCTACATTTCTCTCTCCTACACCGCCAACCCCAAACCCTTTATATAATATCTTAATATGCGGAGAGGTCTCTGAAACGTCAGAAAACGAAGCTTGAGCGAATTTTTCATTTTTTGTCCGTAGCCTTCCGCTTCTGGATTGATTCTTAAAACCTACGAACCTTCTTTAGTCTTTACATACTAGTAAACCTTGTCTCAGAATTTCATCAAAATCCGAACAGTACCTTCCGAGTTACGGAGGGGACACGGATTAACAGATAGATAGACAGATGAACAGACTGACTGACGCAACTAAGTGGCTTGTGTTTTCGCGATGTTCATGTCACGTAGCGTCCAAAAATTATAACATCACATTTCCATTTGTTTTCCAGATTATAATACTTTCTCACAACTCAGCGTGGGAAGTAAAAATAACTTTTTCTGCTCACCTCAATAATTATTTGGACCCACCTATCTTCAGGTAGAATACTTTAATCAATGATACATAAACATGCGACCAAGCTTGGATAGACAACCAAGATTAACAAGCAGTATAACTTTGTTGGGTGGGAGCACTTGGGATTATTCATTCATTCATGATTAACGACACATGCATGCGTATGAAATTTTGTCAATTCATCATTTTTAACAATACCTAGTTATTACGTAAATGAAATTCGGACATACAATCTTAGTGTCTAGACTTTGCGAGCAATTCATAAATTACGTGTGGGATGAGGTTCATTCATGTTCACCTTAACTTGACGTATTAACGCAACGTATATGCTAGGCATGTGCTGGCAAACATCTTTAAACGGTTTGTAAAACCGTTAATTCAGCTAACCAAGTGAATTGTCGGAGTTCGCCAAGCAAATTGAGCGAAAGTCCTCATGTGTTTGCCAAAATTTGTTGACAGAAGCGACTTTATGGAAAAGTACGCCAGTTAAAATGCAACCGGTTATTTTTGCGGATTTTCTGAGAGTGGTGGTCAAATATGACCAAAAGCTTTCAAACTGAGCTCTTAACGAAAAAACATCTCATACAAATGTTGATTAGCTTCTTATTACAAACTTACTGAGACCAAACTGACATCAATTAATAATATAATAAATTGGTAAAAAAAGTTATTGCAAAGAATTGCTAAATACAGATGATTTTCAAATTACTTATATCTACCCGTACCCTACTGAGCGCGGCCATGGCAAATCAAGTGATTGTACACGCGTTAAGGAATACCTCAGTACCGATAGCCGGGTGGCGGTACAAGTCCGCCAACGGGCCACTTTAGGTCTATTTAATATCATTAACATGCAAAAAGAAGGTGGTAGACAAGGACCAGTCGACCGAGGCAGTACCACCCGCTATCTTTTCCCTTATAAATGTCCGCATGTTTCAGCACCTAAGCTATGCAGTCGGTATCTTCCAAAATAAAGAAATTAATGATGATGGATCGCTCGAGTACTAAAAACTTCGGACGTAAACTCACTCCACTCTCGGAATTTCCGAGTGGAGGGTGGTCTCGGGGGAACAACATCGAAGATAAAATTTGTTTTACCAACATCTGCGGGATTAACAGCAACAGTGATGCTGTTCATCACTACTTGCAATCCAATCGCCCCGCCATGCTTTTCTTGGCAGAGACAAAAATGTCAGAGTCTGCACCGATTAACCATCTTAGCTTCCCAAATTACGAGGTGCACTCCAATCTGAGAAAGAACGGGGGAGTTGTGGCTTTTGTCCGCAGCAGTCTTTCCTGCTCCAGAGATGTTTCTTTGGAAGCAGACCGGAAGGACATTCTATGGCTTCGCCTCAACTCCAGAACATCACCCAAATTTATTTGCTGCTTTTATCGCTCTCCCTCGGACCGTAGATATTTGCTGCCAACTCCACCATAGATGTTGCCCCCAACGCCCAAGTGCCATCAATTCGAAGGGTTCCCTATACTATGTGGGAGGTAACATTTAGGTATAAGACCGTAAGACGAGTGCTCTTGTCGCTTCTGGTCTCTTCCAGATATCTTATGAATCCGGCACCTTCCCAGAAAACTAGAAATTTGCTCATGTCCAACCCATCCCAAAAAAAAAGGGTCTAAGACCACTACAGGTCTATAGCCCTGCCTTCTGTTATAAGTAAGGTGATGGAGAGGTGCATAAATCGCGAGCTTCTGGACTACCTCGACCGTCACAGCGATCCACAGGGGACCTCCTAGCTTACAACACGCAATTGTGAAGTAAACTCATCCAGTCTTATGGTGAGGCTCATGTCGCTGCTCTTGACATCATGAAAGCGTTCGATCAGCTGTGGCATGCGGCACTCTTAAGCAAACTTCCAAGCTTTGCAGATGGGTCGCTGACTTTATCTCTGGCCGCAAGATATCCGTCGTAATTGACGGGTTCTCTTCTTCATCCCACAACGTCAACGTGGGTGTTCCCCAGGGATCGGTCTTAGCTCCGACACTGTTGCTCTTACATATCAACGACCTCCTTTCCTGCACGATCAATCCAATCCACATTGTCGCTGATGACAGCACTCTACATGGAGGAATACAGAGTGAGAAGCCGATCTCTACCGCTGAGCTGGAAAAAAGAAGACCAGCGACGACTTCCGCTCTGACGCGGGACCTGCAGGCTATCATTGCTTGGGCACGCAACAATCTTGTACAGTTTGATGCTTCCAAAGCACAGTACCGTACTTTGACGAACAAAAAGCGTCCTAGCGCTTATCCGGTTTCAATGGACGGCCGAGTTCTGGAAAAGAGCCATTCATTTCGGCTGGTCGGAGTCCAGATCACCGAAGACCTGATCTGTCACGAACACATCTTGTCAATAGCGGCAGCTGCAGGGAAAAAGCTAGGCTATTTGTTTAGGGCTAAGAAGTACTTTTCTCCGCTTGACCTTCTCACTCTATACAAGGCCCAGATCAGGGATAGCCTCGAGTATTGCTCACACGTTTGGGGTGCTGCCGCCCCGACTACATTATTTATGCTCGATGCTGTCCAGACGAGGGCGGTCCGACTGATCGATGACTCTTCTCTAACAGACAGTCTCTCTCCCACCGGCGGACCGTCGGCGATCTAGCTCTTTTCTACCGCTACACAAACGGGCTTTGCTCCTCAGAGCTCTCTTCCATGATGCCGCCGCACGATGTGTCTGCCAGACAGACCCGCGTGACTTTGGCGTCCCAACCTAACCGTGTCGAACTTCGTACATCCAGAACTGGCCGATACGACCTCTCCTTTGTCCCGAGCTTCAAAAATCGTATTAACAAAAATTCTTTGGGATCATCATATTAACCGGGGTGTCCCGGCATTTAGGCTTCTGCCTGCGCGGCTGTTTCGGTATAAAGAAAATCTGATTTGGAAACAAACGGATTTCAATGAAACTTTATAATACTACATTGATTGGAGAGTAAAACATGGAGAAACTTTCAAAGTTGGACAATATACAGTATGATAGAAAAACATATTTTTTAAAGGCTTTATAGTAGATTGCGTTCTAAGTTGTAATAGCTCTCACAGGAATCAGTCAGCTCGTAAAATATTTTTAAATAGCTGGGTCAATCGCATTTTGAAAAACATGTAAATGTAACAAATAATTCGACCTAACAAATATATTTTTTAAATATGTACTTTTTTGTTGTCTGACAGTGAATCTTAGAATTGCATGAGAATAATCTAATGTTCACGATGAAGATGGGATAGCTCATCATCTAGTGACGATTAGAGTATACAGAGACGATTAAACGAAAAGAAGGCGGGTGAATGAATTTTACAGAAAGAGCTATTTTTTCCAGAATTATAACTGTTGGTAAAACTAACCGACATCGTTCTTTTCAAATATGTACTTAAAAGTCTGAAAAAATAATTCAACTTTCTAGACTGTATGTAAAACGTAATACACTCAAGCGACTTTTCCCCGTTCAAGCAACATTGTAACTCTAACCGCTAATAAAAATTAAGTTAAGCCTAGACGGAGAATATCCTATTGCAATAATAAAGTATTTCCTGATCAAGGAATCTTTCATTCTGATCATTATTATTCATTGCTTGTTGAACTTTCAAAGGATAATTTTAATTTGTTAAATGTTTTGGCACTGCGTTTACTAATAAATATTCGCTGCGCAAAATATTTTTCAATGCAGTATTAGTGATCTTGAACTTATCGTGCAAAACAAAACTATCCAGTAACATTTCAAATAAATAATTTTTAAGCACATTTATTAAACTGTGTTTTCTGTTTCCCGGATTTGTGATTTTTTTTACATGAGTTCCAACTTAGAACCATTATACTAAACATTAAGCCTCGCGGATATCATACCGAAGCTATAAAATGATATATAAAACTATTAAGCGTGCCTTGATTGTTATTAACCTTGGTACACTATTGTAAACCGCATACAGAAAGATCGTACCGTAAAATCAATCTGCGGTTTTCAACAAAAACGTGTTATTAATGAATATCTGTATCGCAAAGATTGCTTATGATACAGTAAGTGAACACGCTGTTTTCTTAAAGGATAAATTATTTTTCAACATTGACGACAAATCAGACACAATTGTGAATTCTTGTTATTACGAAAAAATTGTATAAAATATTACCATCCCAGTACTCCCAAAACACTACAGAACTAATTTCCATACCTTCAAATTCTGATTTTATAATAGTATTTCTGAAGCTGAACAACAGTAAAGGATAAGTTTGAAAATCCTTGATAAAATGAGCATTAATAGATTTTTAAAAGTTTTGCTTCTCTAAAAATGCTTTTACCATAACGTGATTAGATAAGTGTTCATGTTCTAAAAATTGCTAAGCGTTTTCAAAGGGATGAACAAATATCATTTACATGTCACACCACTAATTCAGTACTATCGTAACTGGAAATAGAATAGAAGGTACTCTAGAGATTTTATTTTATAGTTAGGTTATTGCTTGATACCATATATAACACAACATATTTTTTTATAGATTTATTTCGTCGGTTTGAGATTTATTCAGCATGATTGCTACAATTACTTTCTTTTAAAAAACTACAACAATTACATAACACAGAAATATTGAGAAAAACAAAATTTGCATCTCTAAGAATTTCCACGTTCCATGAAATGTTCCTTTAATTTCCTGTTAAACATCTTCAAATTACAAGTAGAGTTTATATCACTATTTAGCTTATTAAATTCAAGTAATCCTTTCTAAAATATTGATTTGCTAGTTATATTACTAGTGTAATGTTGTAAATGGAAATCTATATTTCCTCTTGTATAATAATTGTGGTAACGATTATTCAATTCTATGTAATGCTGTAATGTATCGTCTGCAAATATCTGAATTTTACAATAATCTAAAATATCACAAATGTCATAAATGTACTTATGAAATAAATAATAGTAGACCTAGTTTACTACCTTGTGGTACACCAACAGAAATATTTTTTAAGCCTTGATAACGTAGATTCAATTTTGATCTTTTTGACGTCTGTCAATTAAGTATTTTTGTAGAATTTTGAATACAGATCCTTCAAGCCAATAGTAATGCAATTATATAAGTATCTGTCAATAGATTCAAACGCCCTTTTGAAGTCCAAAAAGACTATCACTGTATGTTTCCTATTGTCCATACATCTCCAGTCCTCCATTCATATTGCCGTTTCAGTTCAGTGTTATCTTATTAATTTGATACTGTGATGCATTTCAGGGTAAAATAGCGCCACAACACAGTGTGTAACGAATATGTTTACAATATTATAGGTCACCTGCTACAGGGCGCTAAAAAGCGGTGCAGAAAGCGGTTGGGATTTCTCTACCCGTTGGATATTCGATCCATCAGGAAACTACCCACTCACCAAAATTAACACGATGCGCGTCATCCCTGTAGACCTTAACGCATTCCTGTTCAAGGCCTTCAGGCATATGTCAGTATTCTACACACTCCTTGGGAATCAGGAAAAGGCGATCTTCTGGCTGGAAAAATCCAACTCCTGGCAGAAGTCAATCGAAATGGTTCACTATGATAAGGCAAGTATACTAGTTTTTATATATATAGTAATTTTAGTTGCCTTTACAGTTTTTTCTCATTATAAGGTAACGCTTACAAGCTCTGTGCTTACTAGCAGATCCTGAAAAATGTTGATTCTGCACTTGCCATGCAACGCTGTCGTTACTTCATAAAGGATTATGTTCGGTACAAGTTAGGCCCTCCTAGAAAAAAGTTAATGCTTCAATTATGTGGTGTCGCTACAACTCTGTAAACCTTCCATTGATGCATCGAACTCCGATCCAAAGCGCAGCGCCGCAGACATCGTTAGCTAACCACTGTTCACTAACATTTATCATACGAAATATGTTACTTGGTTAATAATCACTGCGGCGTTGAAGATCCAGGATGACAGCGATTCATCTCTTACATTTATTGCATGTAGTCAATAAAAAAATCAAGTATTAGAACGCAATAATGACAGCGGCGTCTAATCTTGCTTCCGCTAGGCAGCGCTAATGTAGTTGGAGGTCAGACAAACAAACCATTGCGTGTTGATTATTCCACAGATTTGATAGAAAGGTGAGTTGCTTATAACATCAGAGATGACCGCCAACTTAACTGCGCCATCTACTTCTAGCTTTCCAGATTACCCCCTGTTCACGACAGGTTTATTCGATCTTCGTTGCGCTAGGAAAACCCAATCAGGGCGTAGAGTTACCGGAGCTAGAAGCATATTAATAGATAGGTAAATAGATATTTATTGATCACATTTTAGTAGATAATACGTGTGAAAAATCAAACAAGGAAAAATTGATTGATACATTGAAAATTAAACGACAATTAAAGATTTGTAAGATAAAAGCTCTTGTACAATATAAAAGCAGCTCTGGCATAGTGATTTCTTTACTTTGTGCTCAAACTTAAGATTGAGACGTAACCTACCCACCCCCTGCAACCCCGCCCCCATTTTCTAACACTCTTAGTTCCGCTGCCACTGGCACGGTTTTCAAAACCTACAAAGCCTTTATATCCATTCAAGTTGGAGAGGGCCAAAGCTCCAGCGGGAAGATAGACAGAGTACCACGTTTTTCCATGATATGTATGTCATGTAACATAAAAAAGCAATATCTCATTTTCGAATTGTTTGCGACTACAATACTTTTTCGTCAGTTGTCGTGGTAAGTAAAACGATGCTTAGAACTTAATGTTTCTAGAACTTTATGAAGGGATATAAACATGACCGCCCATATAGCAAAATCCAGGGGGGGGCATGTTTGGTTTACAGGTTGTGCAGGATCAAAAATGGTGAGAAGAACTAGCCAACTCGTTGGTGAAAATTGCAGACAGGGGGGCTAGTATGACAGGAAGAACAGCCCTGTTTGGCAGAACTTGTAAATTGGCTTCAAATGAAATTTGAGCCTTTTTAAAATTTCAATATGTGTTTATGAGTTTGTCTTATTAGGAAAATTTCACTTTGAAGCACCATCCAGGCGAGACGCATGCCCCCCAATGGGCGCTCATGGAGATAAGGTAGTCCAGAAAGGTGTTTGAAATCATTTGAAGAAGTCACGTTTGAGTGATCAGGAGAATTTGGCACTGTCAAAGTGTTCAGGATCGGAAAACTTTCTCTTGTTCATCCTATGTTTCCGCCCAAAAGAACAATAAAGATCTGTCAATTAGGGTTTCGTGCAATCATCAACAAAATACGCACCAGCGCAGCACTAGCTTCACCTAAAAAAAAACTACTAATATTTTTGTTATCTTGAGGATTTTGCATATGTGTTAGGAAAATTTAATTATTATTACAACTATACGTTGAACATAATTAGCCGCTATTCACAATTGCACAGACATACTTGGATCGGTGAGGTAAATCATCAGCGTACTCGTAGTAATTGTGGTATGGATTATCACTAATTGCAGCAATCAGTAGTGAAAGGTCAGCTTGATATTTCTATTGTGCGCTAAATATTCAAACGATGCTGAACTTGTTTCCTCAAAATTGCTCCTCCTTCCGCTATTTCGGACAAAGCCCTCATTAAGAATTTTACCTATAAATGATTTTAATGCCAAATGTCCATCTCAGAGAGCACTTTACTTTATGTCATAGAAGTTGAACAAGTTCGAGTAACAAAATACTAGAATATGGCATTGATATTTTTAGCAAAAACCGACACTCGTCAAGTTAAATTGTTGCCATTTCTACACAGATCAATTTTCTTGAAACTATTCTAAGGCATCATTTCAATGAAATCCAATTTATGTATCAGTTTGACACCCTTTAGTTACAAAGAATAAAAAAGGATCGCCGCGCCATACCAAATACTTTGAAAAGTTTTACATTAGATGCGATTTTCAGATTGGTACATTTTAATTGGTTATTTTCTTTTTACAGCAACTTTAATGGAGGATCGTCTTGTTCCTTGAATATCGAAAATGGTTTTATGAATCGAATAACAAACAAGGGACACGGTAAATGGTAAATTTTTATTAAATCCCCTAAACTAGCTGACCAAAGTGGCCACCATCGGCCCTTATGCTTACCCTGCACATTTTCATAAACGATCTTTCTAGTTTGCGAGAGTATCTCCTTTTGCGAGGTTTTCTAAGCTCATCTGATTTTTGCACGTAACATAAATCAACTCTGTTTGATAGTCCCTATGATAAGGCACTCCGAATAATAAAAAATCCAATGGGTTTAGTTCCGGAGATCTTGATGACAGTGGATAGAGCCACGGCGTCCGATCCACTTTCCTGGATAATGTTCATTCAGATGATCGCGAACAGGTCGAGCCCACATGGCATCCTGTTCTGGCCACATTTTTCGTCTTATCGAGATTGGCGCATTATTCAACAGTCTAGGCAGCCGGCTTTTTAGGAAGTCCAGGTAGGTTTTAAAAAATATCAAGAACCTGCTTTTACAGTGTCAAAATTAAAAATACCTATTTTTCACTTCTGCTAATAAAGGCAGCAGCGGTGGCCGCAGTAGTAGACCCTTCGGTCTCCTGATCAGTCGCCGCGCGCTGTGTGGGTTCGAGTCCCGTCCCAGGAGAAATTTTTCTCTTAGCTATGGATGTTGTGATTGTCCGTAGGTGGTAGACGGTCTCTGACTGTCGAACGCGGAGGTACCACCCGGCGGATCTCGTAGGCGGAGCCAGAATGTGAGCATGTTGCTTGCACACGTGTTTCCTCGGCAGAGTCTGTGTGGCGTTCCCCCTTTCCCATGTATCCCCCTATAGCCCCACGGTACCCAATGGGTGCTTAGGCCTTAAGCCTTCGTGGTGGTTTTAAAACAGTACTACAAGGAAGAATAAAAATTAAAACGCGAGTTATTTAAAAATGGAATTTCGACAAAAAATTCGGACTTTCTGAAAATTAGAATACGGTATCAACAATTCCTTTCACATCGTTGCGTTGCTTGATCGTTAAAAGAGAATACGGATAATCTCTAATTATGATTTTTTTTTTCGAGATTGAAAGGGGATTTTTTCTAAAAATAGATCCTTATTTTTGTTCAACTTTCTTGCTAAAATTGAGAAAAGAAAATAACAGATATGAAGAAATCCTTCGGACCATTTAAGCTGAAAATAATGTTACGCAAATTTTGGGTCAATGACAGCAATCTTAGCACTGATATGGCAAGCTACTGAATAAAAACCGATTAATAATTCAATTGTATTTTCTAGCATTATATCAGGGATATCTAGCTTCCACGGATAGTTGTTTTTACGCCTAATAGCGCCCAGCAAACTATCTTTTTACTTCTTTCGTCACTGGGCGATGAAGTATTTAATAGCAAGAACTTTTGAAAATGAGATATTATGTAACATATGGAACTTATTATGTGGTTTCCATGTTTGTCTGGCCAATAAAACCACATACATTTAAAATTCTAATTTATTCTTCTTTAATGTAGTCATGTGCTAAGGAATGTCACCGTTGTGACCGAAACGTATACTACATTAAAGAACAATTTCAAATATGTGTGGTTTCATTGGCCAGTTAATATAAGGGATTATGAGATATTTTTTTTTCTCTGGGTTTAAGTTGTGCTGAACTTTATTATTTATGAACTGATGATGGCGTCGCTAACGAAGTGCAGAGTCAACCTACTTGACACCAATTCTTTCCATTTGATCATTTAGGCTGACGGTATCTGGTACGATTACGATTTAGAGGGCAAAACACTTATAAAACGATTCTACCCTTCAAACTTCGCGCCCCTATGGACAGAATCCTACGAAGAGGAGCAAAGAGATATAAAAGGCGCTATGGCGGCGAAGTACTTTACCAATCAGGGTGTGATGAACTACGAGGGAGGTGTCCCTAGCTCTTTGATCAAAAGCGGAGAACAGTGGGATTTGCCAAATGCTTGGCCACCTCTACAAGACATTCTGATTACTGGGTTGGCTAATACTGGAAACGAGCATGCTAAGGTAACTTATCTTTCAGACAAAAAACTTACAGATAAAGTAATCCTGAGAAAGTGTTCCATCAACTCCTTTCATTCAAGTATTTAGTACCTCAGGTCTTCAGTAAACCATAATATTAAACTATCCATCTACTCGGCGGCATCCAGCGGTCACAGTGGTGACCCAGTTTTCAAAAGCGAACTGGGATACAGTTCCAACATATAGCTGCTGTTTTACGCTTGCAGTGGTCAATTCTGGTAACAGATGGTACGTTATTTCAACAGAACTTATATCCTGGATAGAGGTTAGTTGCTCAGCTTTCCTGCCTGAGACCAAGCCTAGACGGTGTTCATGAGTTGGCAGAAAACACGAAACAGCTATCCATTGGTCAATGGCGTGTGGACCGTATCTACTATACCACCAGAATTGGCGGCATCTGTCGGCCACAGTGGTGTCCCAACTGTCAAATGCAAACTGAAATACAGTACCAACATACAGTCACTCTCACAGTGGTCGATTTTGGTAAAAGATGGATCTTATTTCAATGGACATGGTAATATTAATTTTCAAACTATCAGGATGCTTCAAAAGACTGCTAAGTATACCGATACCTATGGACATTTGACATAGGTATAGATCAGGCTACCTAGTCAAAAATGAACCCTGTCATATTTTACAACAGAATTATATTTTTAAATGTAAATGAAAAATATCAAAATTCGATGACTTACTTTTTCGAGTATATCCAAAAAACTATGAGATATTGGCTCAAGTGGTGTGAAGGTCTCATTTTGATGACCTATTCATGACCTGCAACTTTCCTTTGAACCAGTTTTCTCAATACTAGTATTTTGAATGTATGGGACGTTACCTTTGACGCAAATAGTTACCTACCCAACAATTTTTTTGTCTCCATTTGAAGAACCTTTTCATTAACCCTCAAGAATATATTTCTGTCGCAAAATTTGTCTATAATTTTTTTTTAATTTCCATATTATATTCTGGTCTAATGCTAACACTGACCTTTTGATTTTTCTTTGGGCTGCTATTTACCTTTTATACATGGTGTACAGAAGGTATGGATTCGTCAAAATACCTCGAAAAATATGTCTTCCACAGAAAAATGTTGTAATACAAAATTGTAAGGTTTGAAAATGGTGACCTTGAGTATGACATTCATTTCATTTGAAGGACAAGACAGTTTTCTCAAATGAAAACCCCTATTTTTAACTCCGAAAATCTAATGAGCTGGAAATTTTACGTTCAAGTATGTCTTTGCCCATGGCATTGACCATAACTTCATGTTCATTTGAGTGTCCAAAAACTATGGAAATACAAAATATGAAAAATGTAGCAGAACAAAGATGTAAGTTTTGAAAAGGGTCACCAAATGACCTTGAATGTGAACTTGACTATGATCTTCAAAGGCATTTAGAGGACGTGACCGTTATCTCAAATGGAAACCCTTATTTTTGACACCGAAAATGTTAATGGTTGGAAATTTCATGTTCAAGTATGTCTTTACTCATGACCTTGACCTTCACCTTTATGGATATTTAGGGGTGCCAAAAAGTCTGGACATTTTAATATCTTAACACTTAAATGATATGTTCAAAAAGTTTTGTAAAACTGGTTATCAAAATTGACGCTTTCTGTAACTTTGATCTAATCTTTTGTCATTCTGGAACATACGAAGTCTGTCTACTAATAAATTTAGATTTTTATGGGAAAAACAACCATCAAAAAGAATTGCAAAAACAAAAAACGAACAGGAAGGTGTCTGTTTTTCACAAAATATTCCTCTCTATGTATCCAGTGAGATTACGAGGTATGTACATTAAGTGATGAGTCAGGCAACGTAGCGTTCGATCTGGCAACACTGGAAGCGCCGGGATTGGAGGGGAGACAGAAGAACATGTTATCCACCTTCAGTACAAGTTTGAACTCGCTCGAGTCATTTGGTTGTTCGTACCAATTTTTTTGTGAAACAGTTTTTCCTACTCTGTTCTAAAAAGGAATGACATTTCGAGCAACGCTGTGCTATCGGGTTTTGCTTCAGGCTTGGGCACAGTGCAACGGAAACTCTTGCTAAACAGGCCTACGGAGATAGTGTTTTGTCAAGAGCCCAGGTTTGTTTGGTGCTTTAAGGCAGAAGGGAAAGAGTCGATTCAAGATGAACCACGAAGCGGAAGAAGGCATTCATCTTCAAGAACCGATGAAAATATCGTCAGGATACGGGGTCTTGTGCATTCAGATCGTCGGTAGATAGTCAGAATGATCGAAGAAGAGTTAAATGTGACTCACACCACCATTCATCAGGGGTGTTGCATGACGATGATGTTCCTTGTCACACATCACTGTCAATAAACGAGTTTTTGGCCAGTAAAACATTCCCATAGCTCCTCAGCCTCCTTATTCGCCTCACTTGAGTCCGTGTGACTTTTTTCTCATCCCGAAGTGTTAAAAAATCGCCACAGTAGAAAAAATTGAAAAGGCTGTAACCGACCAGCTGAAGGCACTGTATGAAAACGGGAAGAACAGTCTCCAGCGCTGTGTGGCTTCAGAAGGAGATAATTTTGAGGGTGATAGTTTAAAATTGTAATTATATTTGAATAAAAAAATAAATCAGTCTCATCACTTAATTTAAAGACCTCGTATTTCCTTGTATTTATGTATATCTTGACTCTTAATATAACTATTATGTGAAAAAATTATGCTTTCGCAGAAAATTGCCGAGACGTTTGCAAAACGGTGGGTACGAGCCAACATAAAGGGCTACACGGACACCCAAGAGATGTTCGAGAAGTACGACGCGGAACAACCTGGCAAGTATGGCGGCGGAGGAGAGTACAACGTACAGTCAGGATTCGGATGGACCAACGGAGTTGCATTGCAGTTCATTAAGAAGTATTATGCAGGTAAACATCGGAGATGATCGCTAAAGGGAGTGCCTACTGTACTTTGTAATATAGGAGCAATACCAGTGACCTCTTCAATAAATGTGTGTAAATGTCGTTTGATCCTTTCATTCTACCTTAGTAATGTTCATTCTAAAGTCAAAAAACGCACAAAAACCTACATCATCCTGCAATACCTCCTAAAAATATAGATCTGTAAAGAAAATTAGTTTTCATCATTACGCTCAAGTAACAAAAAAAAAACACAAATCCAAAAGATGTAGTTGACAAACATGTAAGTTAATCTTATTATTTCTACACCGAAGCATGGAAAATATAGTCGGGGCGGGCGCACCCCGTACATGTGAGCAGTACTCGATGCTAGGACCTATCTAGACCTTGTACAGAGTGACGAGGTTATGTGGAGAAAAGTACTTTTTAGCTCTAAACATATATCCTAGCTTTTTCCCAGCAGCTGCCGCCTTTGACGAGATGTGCACGTGTCAGAATCAAGTCCTAGGTGATTTGAACTCCGACCAGCCGAAAAGAGTAGCTCTTTGGTAGAACACGGCTATCCATCGGATGAGCCGGATGAGAGCTGACGCTTCTTGTATCTGTGTCTTGAAAGAATTAAACTGTACAAGATTGTTGCGTTTCCAACCAGTAATAACCTTCAGGTCTTCCGTCAAAGAGAAAGTGGCTGCTAGTCTTCTTTTCTTCAGGTCACCGGCTGAGATCGGCTTGTCGCATTGAATTCCTACATATAGGGAGTGCTGTCATCAGCAAAGTTGTGGATTGGATTGATCATACAGGAATGAATGTCGTTGATATGTAAGAGGAACAATGGAGCCACGACCGATCCAAGGATTTCATTTGAAAGACAGTGTCGAATGCACCAACAAAACTCAAACGATTGGCATCTACTAAGATAGCCAAGCAGCTATCAAGGCACCAGACTTGGAGAATACATGTATATCGTCCAAGCACGTTGCGGATATCAAGAAACTAAAAAGCCCAAAAAAATCTTACTGTGGTTATCAGGTCACAAAAGTTGACTTAAAAAAAGAGGTGGATAAAATAGGTCAGAATTCTACTGTCAATAATCAAGAACTTTTGTTTATCCAAACAATCACAGCGTGGCACAGACGTACAGAGGTTTATCAAAAGTGATGAAATAAAAATGCCTATTAAGTAGATACATCTAATCAGTGTTGTGGAAAACTATGGTGGATTTATAAATAAGGCGCAGTAGAGAAACCCCACTCCACACTTGCCACTGTAAATGCCGTGATAGTTGCGGTGACAAACCCATACACAGTTACTCAGTGCGAAGAATACTACAATAAGAGTTGCAGTGATAGCAGACCTTTGTACCCGTCCTTCACTATTCATCATTTTGTCTGTCTGGGCAGATCGGATCTTAGAGTCCTTGTCCATCAGGAACTATCTTGTGTACGCTAGTAGAATCAGTAATGGTTGCTCAGAAACTTGGAAATGACAAGGATTCCAAGCCAATCCTTCATTGTGATCTAATCAAACCCACCTCAATGAAGCAAAAAACATTGTCCTTCATCCAATAAGCCCAGTATCAGAGCCCTCCTCAAATATTAGACACCAGTAATCCGAAGCACTACGAGATTACCGGCCTGGCGCAAGTTGAAATGATAATTTCCCATCTCTGATATGATTACAGTGTGTTTCTGAATTTTGAGCTTCCTATATTCAAATACCACAATTGATGACAGCAGCAGAAGTCATCGTGCGTCACTGCTTTGACGCTGTACCTTTTGATTACAGCGACGTTTACCGACATTTCACAAAGAAACGCCGCATTTTCGAAGGCCTCCGCGTAATAGCAGTGGCGTACGATGAGTTTCGCTACTGTCATCAATTTTGGTATTTTACCAGAGATTTCTCGATTTAATAATGGCCCAAAAGTATTGGAAGTTGAGGACCAGTTTTTAGCGCTACAAAGATATATTAATGACATTCAAAGAGCATTATTTGTGTGTTGATGACTGTTAATGTGTAACTAGGAAATTTGAAAATGGACATATATGAATGCGTGGAAAGTACTGGTTCAACCTATTTGACAACATTTTTTTTGGATGTGTCCCAAGTCCCCGGAGAAAAATTGGGTGAGTACGGGTATCAGTAGAAGGGCTGCTAAAAATACTCACGGTATATGAATGCAAGCAAAAGTTATGTTACGTACATTGATTATAATGATTCAGTGCACTCTCACTTTGTTCTGCTGTTTATACTTATGCTTATTGTTTGCGCTTAAGGGTTTGGCTCCATTTATATTAGCTTGATATCTAAAGCACGTTTTTTGTTAGAAATGCATGATACCAAAGATAGTGATTACTTTTCAAATTAATACATATGAACTGAAATCATAATTAAAAATTTTGTCAAGTAAAAATCCGTCTCCCATATAGTATTTGCTAAAAACTGTTGAAAGTCTAAACAATGATTTTTAAACAATGATTATAATACCATACCATACCATTTATTGACCACATTATGTATATGATTGTATAAAAGTATACTATAATATATACATATAATTGTACATAGGTACATGTGAGGTCTTACAAACTAATTTACCAATCCAAGTGACGTCATAGCATCAACGTACTCAACTCATTTTTATTTATTAATTACTCATATTCAGTTGGGAGTATAGAGTCCTCGAGTATTTAACATTACATAGTGTATGGGTGTGTATTTGATATTTATTTAGATTTCTGTGCACATAACATATAGGACTTGAAAAATATAAATTGATTTAAGTAGTATTTGTAAATTCTTGAAATGATTTCTGCACGTTGACTGGAATTTTCGTCATTTTTTGTGAAATGAAAATTTTGCTAGATGCTACTGAGTTTCCCAAGGGCATTGCGTCATATGTAATGTGACTATGGGACACGCTGGAGTACACTACCGTTAAAAAAATATACAATTATTTACCGTTTTCTCCAGTAATGCATACCCCAATCGTGCAGTTTTACTACCTAGTGTTTTAAAATCTGTGGTTAGAATAAAAGGATCAGCGTTCCGAATATTATTTTTCTAACACAGCATGATGTGAACTGGTAGTGCTTATCTATAAATGCTTTTGTGCGTTTGCATAGGATGTTTAGCGTCCAGCAAGTAGTGGAAGAACTACTGTCGCTTCAATCACGCGCTTGTCAACCTCCATGTTTCATTGGCCCCCAAATAAAACCACAGCTGCAAGATGGAAAAAGTTACTGACTACTTTGAAAAAGGAAACCGAGGTGACGGAAACGTTAGTAAATCTTTCGGTCCGGGATATCGTCGTCCATAACACGAAGTGGCGTATCTCGTTTTATCCAATTTTGCAGGAGAGCGTTTTAAATATTTTCACCAGCTTTGAGTTGTTGCTGACAAAAAGGTATTATTGCTACATGATCGAATTTGTGGGTTTGTGGGTATATCTGCTCGTGTTTACAAATGATCAACGATTAACCCATTTTTCATTTTATGTGCTCAAAATTTCCAAAAAAAGTAGATAGGTCATTTTGTGAAATTGAAGGGTCGTAATTCATAGAATAAGGACTTAGTTACGTCCTTGTTATATTTTAGTGATGAAAAATCAAAACACATGAAATTTAAAGAAGAAATGCTTTATTACAAGACAAAATGGTTATAAAAAGGGGAACAGTGAGTATTATGGTGAAATAAGTACCCGCAGAATCTAAAAATATACAACTGTAACTCCCTAGACAAGTTAAATATGACAGCACAAACATAAGTCTCACTCAAATAATAATGATATAATAACATGAACAAAATAATAATTAGTATTTCATCTATCACTCGTGGGGAAGATTTAAATCGGTATATCTCCCTCACACAGCGTTTTTTTCCCTTTTTTAACCTAAAAACGCTGTAATCGTGAAAGGTGAAGTCAAAAATATAGATTCGTCACAGTGCGTATAGTGATAAAATTAAAACTACAATTTTACGAACTGGCGTAACCTAGATAAGCCATACGCTGTATGATAAGTAATATAAATGATATGTATACATATTTTATAATTTCACAAAATTGGCGTAACTTGAGTTAAGCTCCCTCGTGAAATTTAATTTCCTATTAAAATGAGATAAGTCTAATATTATTTTTCTATAGCTCTAAAAGTATTAGAAACTGATTTATGCCACTTCGTGATATTGAAGAGCAACCTTTTTTGAGCAATAAAATCGACTTAACTCAATTTTCATGTTTTCTGAGATACGCCACTCCGTGTTATTAGATGTTACAAGGCTTGTCATTTTATAATGCACAAAGAAAAACATTCATCAATAATGTATAAACGTTTTTGCTCACTATATCGTATCTTGCTATCCAGTACGGCACGCAGAAGCGGATCAACTACGTTCTATATTAGTATACACGCATACAAAACGCGTATGAAGTTTTAGAAAAAAAAATTGGGGTTGTAGAGAATGCAAATTTGTGAAGTTCCTTCATTTTACGTTTCTAACCCCGGTAATTCTACGCATCTATTAGACATATTTCACATATCATAGATTTTTTCGTACATTTTCCCTTTGTCCGGCTGATGGGTATCTGTGATGACGAGCGACGATGTTAATCATAGCAATGATAATGGATAGATAGAGATTTTGGCAGTGAGCAGATTTTAATTGTATAAGCTTGTGTTACTGACTTGATCAATTTAATTATTTGTTATACATGTTCGTAGCCAGCTTTTTTCTCATAAGGGCCAACTTGTCCGGAACATAATGAGCCTATGACAGCGTTGAGTGGGAAGTGACGCCATTTTTTTAGTGTGCTGAATTTTTCTGGCTTGCAGTGTTAAATTTTGTTATATCTGTGAACGGATGAAGCAATATTCCTTTTGTATGGAAAATATAACAATAAAATACTATTTTTAGGTTTAGGTACAAACAATGCAAATGCGATAAAAAGAGCTGACGTTTACCTGGTAGGATTTTTATGTGTATGTCTTCTATTGCCTCGAACGATGCAGGGTTGAGTATACTCACAATTTTCGAGATAAAGGATATTTATGTATGTATACGGAGTACCCTAGTACCTGTTGTTATAGCGTTTTAAAATATACTTTAATAGTTTTAAGTGTAGACTGGACACTGGATGTACTCTTGTCGTGTTGCTTGAACAGCTTCATAAAGATAATGGTCGTTACAGTAGAGAAGTTTAAACATGATTGTTTGACAGAAGTGCATACCTACAAGCCCAATTCAAACGTAGCCACTAAAATGCCAAGTCAAGGACAATTTGATGAAGATCTCGGAGCATAAGGCATAAGCTTTTGATTTTTCTCCATGATTAGATTTAGAGTATACTTTTTGCCTAGCAATGCCTACTGAATTGCCAAAGCAGTACATCGGCTTACACTCTTCCAAAAATGCATCAAACAGCAATGGCGGAATACCTGATATTGAAAATTGAAGGGCACCTTGGTTGAACTTGACTCGATTCTTCTAAATAAAGCTATGTTGTGTAGGATCCGAACAGATCCTTGGCGGAAGGCAAATACCGAGTTGATTATTATAATGACGACTAATAACAACTTGTTCGTCTTTACCGTACGTTCTGCGTCCAGGGGAATCGGCCCAAATGCCAAAAAATCAAATGAAGTTTCCAAAAAAAGCCTGAATATTATTTATTTAATTTATATATAGCAACATTTGGCAGCACTCCATTCCAAAATATCAGAACTTTGTTTTCAGTTTCAATAATTGTGGAATTCGGTGGGAAGAACCTGTATAAATGCTTTGATGTTTTGGCTTTCAAATCAATCAAAAAATCAATCAACGTACTTCATTCTTAAGCATGCCAAGAGTATTAACGGGATAGACAATGTGAAGTTCTCTGAATATTGGAGTGCACTGGAAGCTGGTCATAACTGGCCAGTGAACACAATTTACTGCACACATATAGTAGATATTTTTATGCAGAGATCTTTAAAATATTGAAGACTATTCCTTCAATATGCCTCGACAGTATTTTTATGTATTTTCTTTTTAACAATGATCTAGTTACTACTAGTATATTACCGAATAACTGTAAATAGGCAATATAGAAATGTTGTTATGATTGTGATATTTTAATAAAGGAAGTTATAAAAAATATGTAATTTTTTTTACCAAATATAAATAATAAACAAAGCATACTGTTTCCGTCCGTCCGACCAAAGATAGCCAATGGACAGCTGTTTCGTGCGTTTTAGCTACCCATCAGCATGGTCTTGACATGGTCAATCCTTTCTGGACAACAAACAAAAGCATAGCGACTATCCTCCATCCAGGAGGTACGATAAACAACTATTTGAGTGATTTTTATAATACGCTATTTTTCTAATCCTCGCTAATAAATATCTGACTGATTTAAACTGTGCGCCATTTTCGATGAACGCATTTCAGTAGGTGGCGCCGTAGTAGTTGTTTAAAGCACATGTGAAGAATTCATCATGGAGCGCTGCACGATCCCACAACGCGTCCATATTGTTAAAACGTTTTATTTAAATAATGACTCGATTGTTGCAACGATTTGGAAGCTACGACAAGATTTCAGTCGAAATAATGTGCCCAGTGTCAACACCATTCGTCAGTTGGTGCGAAAATTTTAACAAACAGGTGAAGTTAAAGACTTGCCAAGGTCGGGTCGTGTCCGAACTGTTCGTACTCCGGAAAATATCGAGAGAGTTCGTGAAAGTGTAGCCCTGAGACGTCTACTAGACATCGTTCTCAAGAACTGGGTATTCGTTGCACGTCATTATACACTATTTTAAATAAAGACTTGCATTTGCTTCCATACAAAATTCAGTTAATCCAAGAACTACATCCAAGTGACCATGAATGTCGCCGACAACATAGTCATGCAATAATGCAGCTTAATACTCAAAATAACAATTTTTACCGACAACTGAGCGATGAAGCCCACTTCAATATGAACTGATTTGTTAATAAGCAGAATTGTCGTATCTGCGCATTAGAGAACCCTCGTGTCATCCATCAACGACCACTACATCCTCGTCGAGTCACAGTTTGGTGTGATGTTTGGTATGGAGGTGTCATTGGACCTTACTTCTTCGAAGATGCTGCAGGTAATTCTGTCACTGACAATATTCCTCCCGAAACCTACCAAAAAGTGATGGAAAATGTAATCAAGTGGGTTCAGGTTTGCGTGGCTTCTAGAGATGGACATTTGTATGATATTATTTTTCATACATAATCTCTAAGTTTCAATAAAAGATTAAGATGAAAAAATGGACATATTTTATTCCATTTCACAAATGTTCAAGATACAAACCAGTCAGTTACATATCGGCCACCCTGTATGACGGCATGTTGACATTTGGAAAGTAATTCCTTCAATATATCTGTTTTCATTTATTTGCCATAATGAGTAAACTGGATCAACAGAACAACCCCGTAAAATTTAAAAAACACAAACACAAAGAGGAAAAATACACTACAAAACACACAAGACATGGAAACGCTATTTTATTGATTAAAAAAATGATTAATATATGTGTAAGTGTATTTTATGGAGCGAAAAAAATAACTAGCCTGATATTTATAGTAAATGCAGTTTTATCCAGCCCTGACCTGTAGTTGCATAAACGATAGCGATCTCTAAGTACAAGACACATTACAGACAGTTCAACTGCCTTAAGCAGTAGCGCGATTCAGAGACATCAGACTTTCCGACACTCTCATGGTGATTTGATTAATTAACATAATTACACTGTGATATCTAAAGCAGGCCTTGATTTGAACAGCAGAGCGCCACTAAGAATAACGAATGCATGAGAAATGCTTTAGTTATCTTTTAAATTACTTCCAGAACACACGGAAAAAATTCTTAACTTATTTGCAATCATTTTTTAGTTAAACAATGAAGTGGTTAGTTACTTTGATTCTTTTCGGTTATTGTCACTTTTATGTTCGCTGCCAGTTTGAATCTTGTGAAAGTCCAGTGTATTGTAGAGGAAAGTTGTTAGACTTCATTCAAAGGTTTAGAATTAACAATGATTCTAAGACCTTTGTCGACATGATACAGGTGAGAACTTATCTATGAATACATTTTACACTGACACTCCCTTGTCTTTGTTTAGAAGCAGCTTAAATAGACTGCACGAATCTTAATCTGTATTTCGTTGTTTGGTGTGGCTATTAATTTCAGTGAATTTAAAAGCGGTAATTTTTTGAAAGACACTTAAAATCAAACACTTCTAAGGAAAAAGCATTCCCAACTCCTTATTAAATTCTACAAAGTCCTAGAATCAGATAAGTAGTCATTTGGATAAATTAGATAAAACACAAAAAATTGTGTTTCAATAAAAAATATGAACACTTTTGAATGACACTGGTGTAGTTCAACAAAAATTTTAGGGTAGTAATATATTACGGTGTCCATGTGAGAGAATGAACTTATTTAGGTAGCCACGAATCGGCCAACCCTAAAATAATATGTTTTTTGTACCCTGTATAATCAATTTGATGACAAACACGTAGTTGATTTATTTCGATAAAATTAACCGCTTTTAGAAAAATAGTCTTATTCCAAATTAACTCTAGGGTTCTTCAAATCAGCCGATCTCCAGAAAGTTCCATAAAAGCCTAAAACATGCTAAAATGGTCACAAAAATCTAAACTGGATCAAGGGATTCGAAAATTTATTTCAGGAAGCTTTCATGTCACTGACTACAAATCTAACATAAACTTTTTTATATTTTCAAACTGGATTCAGTATCAAAGTTAATAGATTTGTACTAAAACAACAATGTTTTCACAGAAAAAAAGAAAGAAAAAAATTGATTTTACTGATGTCACTTTTTAACTTAATAACAAGACTTTCAAAAATGTTTATTGTTAATCCATTATTATATAATATAATCTGATACTGCTGATACTGCTCAACTTACCTCTCATCTCGAGTTAAATCAATTATTGAAAGACAGACAATTTGGGTTTAGGCGCAACATATCTACTACTGCAGCAATTAATTCTCCCATAAGCATTCAAATTCCTAGCAGTTGAATTACATAATGTAAACGAAATAAAGGCACTCAAATTTGGAAAAAAAATTAGACGAAAAGTAAAAGACTGGGTTTGTACTGTGCATCAAATGACTATCCTAATTACATATATAGAAAACTAAAACTACAAAATAGTTAGTTAGTAAAGTATAATCCAGACACAGACGATGCCTTCTGTGATTTTTTCATATGTATTCGCCCATTTTTGAACATTTTTTTATTTTGGCGAATATTATCATTATTATTATAACGAAGGTTTTGAGAACCATCACATATCAAGGCGGACCTTTTCGATTTATCTAAGGCGTTTATCTGTCTTCAACATACTAGTATTTTAATAAAAAATTAGCTTATTATAACATGTATCCTTCTAGCATCAAGATTTTAGACTCGTACTTATCTGGCAGAGAACCACTCGTACGTTTTAACTCTGATACCTGAACAGTGATCCATGGAGCTCCTCAGGGTTCCGTACTGGGACCACTGCTGTCTTTATTATACATTAATCATATCCCTAATAGCCTGTCAGATAAGCACAATGCTGCTTTGTTTTCATATGCTAATGACACTACTTTGGTAAATACTAATAAATATTTAAATAACCTTAACGATATTCATCTATCTCATGATGACATTTTTTGTTATCTTTTCTTTTTTAATTTGTTTTTAGTAACTATGCGTTATGCAGCATTGCATTGTATTTAACTAGTTTTATTCATGTCTCATGCACTTTTTCCTAAGCATGCTCCTAGTATATATTGACAAGTGTTAACAATTTCTGTGTATTATTAGCATCAATAAATTATTATTATACAGCATGTAAAAATATTAGCGATATTGTTGATGGCTTGACCAAAAAATGGGATCAAACAGTCGGCTAGCAGGATACAGATTATTATTCTTTAGCCTCTTCATGTGCAACATCTACTGACAAAATGATTTGCACATATTTTTTTATCATACTCTATATTATTATACTGTACCTGAGTTATTGTTTGTTTCGCAGCTTTAGGATCATAATATTTAGTATTCCTTAATCAAACATTTCTAGGGCATGCTTACATTTATTATTTCGGCTTTGTCAAAATACAAGAACTGTTATATTAAAACGTTTCATAATATTCTATAGCAGTTTTATAATAGAACACTGTCATCATCTAGGCACTTTAGTTTCTATATTTAATCTTTCCCTAATTACATGTTGTAAAAAAGCTTAAAAAGCGGCAGCACCCTGAAAATAAGGCATGGTTTATAAACACTAGGTTTCTATGTATCCTGATATTATTACCATTTGATATCGCACCTTGAGAGTTTAAAACACTGAATGTATTTAACGTGAAAAGACATTGCTAACATTTTTTAAATTTCATTCAGATCAACTCAGAGGCAACAACCATAAACAATTTTGAGAGGTTTGTCCAAACCATTTCTGGTAATCCTACACCAGACGATGTAAGAGACTTCATAAGTAAAAATTTTGTCAGTCAAGGAGAAGTAGAAAACTGGTTACCTCCCGATTTCGACCCCAACCCAGACTTGCTCAACAAAGTATATGATTCAGACATAAGAAATTTCGCAAAGGCTATAATCAACATATGGCCTACATTAGGGAGAAAAGTTAGCAATGAAGTAGTTCAAAGCCCCGATAGACACTCTCTGATATATGTACCAAATGGTTTCATAGTCCCTGGAGGGAGATTCAGAGAAACATATTACTGGGACTCCTACTGGATCGTCAAGGGCTTGCTTATAAGCGGCATGACAGATACAGCGAGAGGTATGATAGAAAACTTCCTCCACCTAGTAGAAAAGTACGGGTACGTTCCAAACGGAAGCAGAGTGTACTTCCTCACAAGATCTCAACCGCCTCTTCTGGCCTTAATGATGGGTATATATATGGACTTCACCAATGACATTGGGTGGTTGGAGAGATACGCAGATGTTCTAGAATCTGAGCTTCTGTGGTGGATGAACAATAGAAGCGTGCTTGTGGTTAAGGATGGAGAGAGATATGTAATGTCGCACTACTCAGTGGAAAGTGGCAGACCAAGACCTGAATCTTACTATGAGGACTACAATACTTGTTCTGTTTACGTATCTGGAGATGACCAGGTAATGATAATTTATAAATAAAAGAAAAAATACATTTTTAAAGACAAGCTTTTATTTAGCTGTCGACAAAGCGAAGTTAAAATTTTACAAATATTTTTTCCGATTGGAAATACGCCATTTTATACTTCCTTACCTTTAAACGATATCGAAGCTCATTCGTCTCAAATTTTCACATAAAGGCGTGTTACGGCCTCAGGAGGAAATCCTGCTATTAAAGCGTGACACGCTTTTATTTAAAAACTTGAGACGTTTAGGTTTAGGACGTTTTAGGTTAGGAAGTATAAAAAGGCGTATTTCCAATAGGAAACAATATTTCTGAATTTTTAGTTCGTAAAAACTAAATGAGAGTTAGCCATTAAAATTGTATTTTTTATTTTTACGTTTCAGTATATATGAGAAATAATTAGTTCAATGATTTCTTCTACTTTGCACATATTTTATTATGAATTCATGAAACTTCTTACTTTATTTAAATTATAAGATTTCGAACAACATAAATTATATATAGTATGTTATGTAAAAACGGGAGACGTACATTCTTGATATTTACCAGTATCCTTGCTCAATTAATTGAAGGAATAAAGTGTATCCATATTTTAGCGTACTTTAGATTGATGAAAAGCTGAAATTTGGTAGTCACTACATGGCTTCTCCTTCAAGTAACGTAATTAATACACGTTCAGAGCAAAAACATCAAATAATACATTAAGCCTAAAAAAGTATCTTAAAATTGGTTTATTCGTCAGTAACGTAGTTTTTATTGTCTCCTTAAAAATTCTAATTATGGGACGTGAGAGGTTTCTGAACTGACCGATTCCATTATGGATGAGATCTGCTCCGAAGCAAGAAAAGAAGCCAAAATAGTCCTGTAAAGATTATGGCAGCCATGTTTTTGGATGCGGAAGGTTAATAGGTTATCTACAGACTGGTAAAACTACATGGGGGTATTAAAAGTTTGCGGACTAGCTCTGTAAGTTACCAACAGATGGAAGCTCGAGGATGTGCCTGCTGAGTGAATCAGCTGATAATCTCACAAAGTTGGCCGAAGTTTCTCCATTCCTGCTGTTTTACAAGAGGTTATTTAGTGTTTTCGTTCTCGCTTGATTTCCTAAGTCGGTCATTTCATCATGAACGAAATGTTTGAGCTTTGTAAGTGCAACTTGGAAAACCACCTACAGGAACAATAAATATAGACCGGCAAGGGTGATGAAGCGATGGGTCGTTCTCAAATTTTTTAAAAACATTAACGATTTCAAGAGATATGAATGTCCAAACTGTTCATTCATGGTAAAATCACCGACAGAGCCGATGCAGATGATACAAAACTCAGGCGTCAGACTTGCTTATTGAATCCATACATTTGATCATATTAGTGGCGCTTAAGATGGACCAATTTAGAAAACTTCATTGCTTAACTCGTGTACAAAAGACCTTTCTTTTTGAAGCGCCATATTATCTTTATAAAAAGCAATAACTCCTCTGTCAGTAAGAAATTCCTCTAGGAATAAACGCATATAACTGCTTGTCAACTGATTATAAAAAAATCCAGCTTAAGCAACTTTAAAAAGGGTTAAAGATAACCTTAAAGCGATCGGATGTCTAGAATTTAACTTTACCCATCTCTACAGGTAACTGACTGTTTCCTTCCTCTGTGAAGTATAATATTTTTGCTTCTATTTTTTGGTGATCAATATTGTGTTATCTTAAATTTATGTACTTTTTTATAGTACTTTATCAATTGTGTCTATGTCTTTAGATGGCACTCCACCTTTTCGTCACTTTTCTTTTCTACCTATTGAATCTATGATTTTGGATTGCTGTGAAGAATAACGTCATTTATTATTATTATTATTATTATTGTTATTAATATTATTATTATTAATTTTCAGAACACCCTGTATACAACATACAAATGGTATCTGTACTGCTTGGCTACAAATGCTTTTTTTATTATTATTATTGCTTTATTATACAAATAGTTGCTAGTTTGCCCACGAGATAATTTAATTTAATTGAACTATTTGAATTTTAGTTTTGTAGCTAGTATTGACTTTTTAGGCGAACTGCTACAGAAGCATGCAGAGTGCTGCCGAAAGTGGCTGGGACTTTTCCACCCGTTGGATATTCAGCCCGAATGGTGGCTACAACATTTCCAACGTCCAACTCAAAAGAGTGGTTCCGGTTGACCTGAATAGCTACCTCTGTAGAGCCTTCAAAGAATTAGCTCGTTTTTATAGACTCCTGAATCAGCCTAGTAAACATAAGATATGGATGGATGTGTCGCTCATGTGGCAAGACGCAATTGAGAATGTTCTTTACAATGATGAAGATGGAATCTGGTATGAACAAGTTTACAGACAAACAGTCTATTAGTTCTTAAATTGAACGTTTCTCATCTCTATAAGATGCTGGAACGATTATATGTTAATCAAACTAGATATGGATAGCTATCTGAATTTCTGAATCATTATCTCGTCAAAGCTACAGCGACGGATATAGCGCGATTCAAGCGGTTCATGGGGAGGTGAGAGGTACCGAATATTGATTATGGATGATTTAATTTTTTATTTTGAAAAAATAGTGTCTAATCACTACGTACTTCCCACGCATTCACATATTCTTATTTCCAAATTCAAGAGAAAAGTAATCTTCCTAAAGAATCAAAAACGTTGAGCTCCATGAAAGGGTTTTCGACTAAGCTCTAACCTGAATTAATCAGAAACAATGGAAGCGAATTTTAGAAATATTTGAAAATGTAAACTTCCCAAAAAATCTTATTAT